GATCCCTGGGTCGGGAAGATCGCCTGGAGAAGGAAATGGCAACCCACTCCAGTATTCTTGCCTAGAGAGTCCCATGGACGGAGGAGCCTGGTGGGCTACAGTCCACGGGGTCGCAAAGAGTCGGACACAACTGAGCGACTTCACTGTCACTTATGGAATCTTTGTTAGATGAACACTGTGCAGTGGAGAAACTTGGACCAATGGTTGTTGCCCTCTGAACAGGTAGCCTTCAAGAGAAGAAGGGAAGGGTGGCCAAGAGGAGACCCAGGAAGTAGAGGGGTGGCCTGGGGGCAGTAAAGCATTTGGAGATGCCCTGCTATAGCTCCTGTCTAGACAGTAGGCAGACAAGCCAAGTCAGTCATACTGGTCTTTGTTGGCCATTTTTACGTCTTCTGTATCTTATAGAAACACGTATGGCTGGTCAGTCTGTCTTATTGCTGCCTTCTTCTCTTTGTTCATCTGCAGCTTCATTGTCAGCCAGTGTGACCTCCACACCAGGTAAAACACTGTCTAGTGTCCCATAAGTGTCTCTTCTTGGAGCTCCATTTATCAGACTAGGCTGTCACATCGATATTTTGCACCCAACACTGCCTCAGTAAAAACAGAAACCCAGGAATCTTCTCCACTGGTATGTACGTTTCTTCATCTCTTTTTTTACAGATCTCTCTTCAGCCTCAGCAGATATGACCTCTCCATCTGGTAAATGCTCTCTCACTGTGGTGTTTAAATGAACCAGACTAGCTTCTTACTGCTCGGGTCCTATTTAGAAAACAAGCCCACTTAACGACCACAAAGTAAACCCCAATGAAAAGACACACGAAATGTCTTTTTGTCTCCTTTCTAAGTATCCTGTTTTCTTTGTTCAGGCACAGATGTGCTCTCGGCCTCAGCAGAAGTGGACACCCCCTCTGGTAATGTTTTCTACCAGTCACATTTCCTAAGTTCAAACTCTCCTCTTTCTGTTTAACAAGTGAACATATACATAGAATATTTTGTCTACAGAATAAGCCCCAATGTAAACAGAAGTCCTAGCCTCCTTTTCACAGAAATTAAGCTTCATGTTCTCGTTCACACACAGACACAGAAGTGGTCCCTCCACCAGGGAACACCTTCTGCTTGTCACACTGGTCTTGATCGGATGTGCCCAAGAGACTCGAGGGCTGGGGGTCCACGCCTCCACCTGCTGGGTGGTCATGTTATGATTCAGGTGATGCTTTGACCCCTCCACCCAGATGCACCCACTAGGGGACGACTGTGATTGTGTCGCTTTTATCCATTCACCACTTCCCTGGTGGCTCAGACGGTAAAGTGTCTGCCTACAATGTGGGAGACCCAGTTTCAATCCCTGGGTCAGGAAGACCTCCTGGAGAAGGAAATGGCAACCCCCTCCAGTACTCTTGCCTGGAAAATCCCATGGACGGAGGAACCTGGTAGGCTACAGTCCATGGAGTCGCAGAGTTGGACACGACTGAGCAACTTCACTTTCACTTTCTTCTGTTTTCAACCACACTGTTTTTGAAAAATTCATTCCATCTCCTTTTCACTAATACTCGAGTTTGATCCTTCTTTGTTTGCAGATATGACTCCCACTTCAAGCGAAGCTCCTTCTTCACCAGGTATCTCTCTGCTCTTTGTAGTAGCTCTGTGAGTGGCTTTCTGAAAGAATCCAGCCAAGAAGAGAGGGTTCCTGTTTCCCTAACAGAGGAGGGGAGAGAGGACAGGAGAGGCTAGAGGGGCTCCAAGCCACTCCCCCCCCATTCCTGAGTCACCTCGTGGAGCCAGAGTGGATGCGACTCCCACATCTTATGCTCTGAGAGGCAAAGGGGTGTCGGAAGAGTGTGCTTTGGGGTCTCATGGGTTTGAATTGTGGATGATCCAGGCACATGTACAGGGTCTCCCAGGTGGCGCTAGTGGTAAAGAACCTGCCTGCCAATGCAGGAGATGTAAGAGATGTGAATTCAATCCCTGGGTCGGGAAGACACCCCCCCCCCCCCCCCGCCGGAGGAAAGGCATGGCAACCCACTCCAGTGTTCTTGCCTGGAGAATTCTATAGATGGAGAAGCCTGGCGGGCTACAGTCCATAGGGCTGCAAAGAGTTGGACACGACTGAAGTGACTATCATGCACATGCACTCACAGACATGTGTGTAAGCTGAGTCTACATGTCCTCATCTCTAAAATAGTGATAATACTTAGCTGGCATGTTTGTGGTAAGGATTAGAGTCGTAAATTATAAGACACATTGTAGATGCTCATAATGGGAATGGTTGTTAACCTACCTTGTTAAAGACCAACTTCACATACACTGTTTTACCCCCTGCGTGCACAAGTCCACAAGATAAATAAGCAGAGTGGATTCTACTATTTACAGCTTAAAACAGTCTTGTTTTCAAAACCTTGTGGTCTACAGCATAAAATTTCAATGAATTCAAGTGCTAATGCTTTCTTTTCACTGGAAAAAAATTTTTTGGCAGCCACAGATCTGGTTTCAACAGAAGTGATGTCGTCATCTGGTAACGATCATATGCCTGTTGGTAGATTAATCCTTAGTTTTATAGTAGTTTATACAACCAAATGCTGTCATACAGTCCATTGTTACTCTTCCTGCCTTGCCTCCTTCTGAATATTTTCATATGGGATTGCATCTCTTAGATATGGTCTTTCTCTTATCTAAAAATATTTCTGGAATCTCACTTGATTTTCTTCATTTTCAGCCCTTGTAAAAATCTAATGCTTTTGAATTCTTCCTTTCAAAACTTCAGTGCATTTATAAAATTATTCTGACCATTGAATATATTATTTGATAACTATCGGTTAAGACTCCATGCTTCCAAAGCAGGGAGCACAGGTTCAATTCCTGGTTTGGGAAATAAGATCCCACATGCTGCACGGCATGGCCAAAAAATTTTAAAAATAAATCAATAATTTGAGTTTTGGAGAATAAAAAGCCACACAACACTACTTGTTACATTTTGATGCAACTTAATGGACAAATAAATAAATAAAACCTAATAAACAGTATTCTGGCTCCCAAACTAAAAACTTTTTTAGAAAGCATTAGTGTCTAAACGTAGAAAAAACATTTGGCTCATTTTCATCTTTGAATATATATATGTGACTTCGAAGATATGCATATTTTTAAGCTTGTTTTTTCTTTTTTTACAGTTTCAGTAGGTGAGGAAATGACCCCATTACCTGGTAATTTTTGTTTATTTCTAAGCACTAAACCTATCACATCATTATTAATACTGTTATTTCTTTTTCATTGAAATTTCCTACCCTTTACAGAAAATTTTGTAGCTTTTAGGTGTGTATATGCAGGTTACAGATGTGTGCGCACACATACATTTTGTAGGTCAGAAGCCCCGATTCACCTCTCAAGGCCTCACTCAGATGTTTGCCTTTATTCATAGTTTGGACAAGAGTTGTTATCTTGCTTCCAGTACCTCAGTAACAAATCAGATGAGGAGAGCAACCATCCTGGACCAGGGTATTTCAGTCACAGAGAAGCAGATGCCAGAGGTGTTTATTAACATTCACTGAGCATCTTCTATGTGCTGAGCAGAGCAGGAAATTGAAAAATAGTCACTAGCAACCAATTTATATGAAGGTAAATCATTTTATACACATTAGTGGGTGTAGCACCACCAACATAATATGGGTTTTCTTTTAAAATTAGTTTTACTTTTTACATCACCTTTTTTGAAGTATAATTATGTACAGTAAATTGCACACATCTGTGAGTTTTGTCTAATGTATACAGCTGCGTAAGCACCACCACAATCAAGATCTAGAGCATTCTGGGACTTTAGTGGGGTGTGTGTGCACTTAGTCGCTCAGTCGTGTCCCTCAGTTGTGTTCAGTGGTGGTCCAGTGGTTAAGAGTCCGTGCTTTCAATCCCTGATCAGGGAACTAAGATCCCACATGCCTCAGGATGAGGCAAAAAATTTTAATTAAATTAAAGAGATCTAGAGTATTCCCATCCCCCCAGAAAGTTCCCTGATGCCCCTTTACAGTCAATCCTTCCCACTCCCCCAGACCAACTGATCTGTTTTCTGTCACTATAAATTAGATTTGGTTTTCTAGAATCTCATATAAGAGAAATCAAAGCGTATATGCTTTTGTGTCTTCTAAACCTTGCTTAACAAGTTTTAAAGAAATATTTATTTGGTTGCAATGGGTCTTCGTTGTGGTGTTCGGGATCTAGTTCCCTGACCAGATATCAAAGCCAGGCTCCCTACGTTGGGAGCTCGGAGTCTTAGCCACTGGACCACCAGGGAGGTCCCAACAAATTGTTTTTAAGATTTGCCCCAGGTGGTTCCATATGTTGGTGATTTGTTCTTTTTTTCATTTGTATTGTTTCTGCTTAGTATTGTTGCATTGTGTGGGACATACCACAATTTATTATGGACATACATACCACAATATATTTGTCCATTCCTCTGTGGATGGACATTTGGATTGTTTCCAGGTTTTGCATATTGCTGAGTTTGCTATTTATACATCTTTCTGTGATCATGTGTTTTATCTTGAGTAAATATCTAGGAATGGAATGACTACATTACATAGTATAGAGGTTTTTATTGAGGTATAATAGGTACCTCAATAAACATATTAACATAATTAACATATTAACATAATAACATATTAACATAAACAATAAACATATTAATTGCAGGTGTACAACATAATGATTTAATATTTGTATATACCGCGAATGATCACCACAGTAATTTGAGTTAGCATCCATCTCCAAATATAGCTACAAAAATTTTTTTCTAGAGATGAAAATTTGCAAGTTCCTTCCTAGCAACTTTCAGATACATAATACAGTCTTATTAACTATAATAGTCACCATGCTGTACATCACATCCCCAGGAATTATTTTATAACTGAAACTCTGTATCCATAGTAGTTCTTACAATGTTGACTTTTATTCATTAAAAGAAGCTCCATTGGACAGATGTGGTGAGTAAGAGCAGTGCCTCTTGCCCCCCGCAGACCTCCGCCTGGTGGGCGGGCGCAGCCGCTGCGAGGGCCGGGTGGAGGTCCGGCACGAGGGCGTGTGGGGCACGGTGTGCGACGACCACTGGAGCATCAGGGACGCCCGCGTGGTCTGCCGCGTCCTGGGCTGCGGGCGCGCGCTGGGCGCCCTGGGGCGCGGCCGCTTCGGCCCGGGCTCGGGGCCCATCCTGCTGGACGACGTGCGCTGTGCGGGCACCGAGGACGCGCTGGGGCGCTGCGCCCACGCGGGCTGGGCGCGCCACGACTGTCAGCACCGGGAGGACGCGGGCGTGGTCTGCGCAGGTACCCGGGCTCCCCTGCCACGCCGGGCCCTCCCCGGGGTCTTCCTAAGGCTCCACCCTTTCTTTCCTCCCCGAACATCCCGAAGGTCAGAATTCACCAGCCCGAGGTATGTCAGGTCGGCCAGGGCCCCAGATTCTAGGATAACAAGAGCGTATTTATTACATAGCCGTTGTGGTACATCTTTTAGATGTACAGACAGAGGTGGAACTGTGTTAACCAGGTTTTTCTAATTCCAGTTCAGCACAGTATTTGTCCTGAAATATAGCTAAAAGTTTGTGAAGCCAAACAAGTGACAGCTTTAAAAAGTGATTAAAAATAAAGAACTTGCTGCTTTCAGTCAGACTGCAATTTGTCTGTTGTCCCCTTTTCAACCTCTGATAAGGGCACAGTCCTAGGTGGAGTCCCTTCTCCACTTTGACCTAACCCTTGGAAGTCAGAACCTTGCAGTCCTGGTTCCCCTCGGTCCCTTTCATCCAAGATTTGGCAAATAGTTTTTGTCCCCGGCCATCTGTCTTGGCATTTGACTTCCATGGGCAGAACTCCTTCTGTGTGGAGTCATAGTCCCCTATATTTGCCCTTAATTTATCCACTAAATCTCACTTGTGTGATGGAATTCTACGGTTTGGTGAACAAGGTTAGCTCACTTTGGCTCTTCCATTCTACTTTTTTGCAGGTGAATCAAAGGCATCCTTGCTGTTCCTTTTGCCTTTATGTGGCGATTCCTCTTATTTTGCATAGAAATGGAGCCCAAATAGAAAGGCTATCAGAGCCCCCTTGAGAGAGTTAATTCCACAGGAAGCCATGTAGTGTGACTCACCCTAGGGCTGTGGGGTCCTTTTTCTCCAGATCCTCACTTTTACTGTCTGTTCACAGTTCCAGCCATTCCTCATGCTGTTGGGGGGCCCCCTGTAAATGGTAATTTATCTTCTATGGGATTATACACCAAGGGGTTTCTTTTTCATCAGGTTTGGCAGCCAAAGGACCAGTTGTCTGGGGCTGAGAGCATTTGAGGGGCTGAGGGAATCTGGCCAGCCTTCCTTTTGGGCCCTGGCCCTGGGTTTCTGTCTTGCCTTGCTTCTGGGAGGGGAGGGCTTGAAAGCCATGAAGCGTGCATTTCCCAGCCTGGACTACCAAGCACGCCATGTGCATGGGAAAGGACGCCAGCCAGGGTTCAGCCATGTGATGAGGTTTAAAACCTGCAAAGCCCTGTGTTTACTAGTCTCTCTCCAACAAATCTTGGTGTTCATGACACCATTCTCAACACTACTTTATCCATGTCAGAACCCCTCCCTCCAGCTACATCAGGAGGCCCTGAGCCCTCCTTTACTTTGCATCGCCCTGGAGTATTTTCAGGCCATTGCTTCAGCTTTAATAAGTGAATGCAGTGAGCCCCCTTCCCTACAGTCCACGTCTACTGCTGGCTATGTTGTCCCCGCCCAGTGCTTCTGCACAGCTGACATTTGCTTTTCTTTGTCCCCGCCCCACCACCAGGTGCAGCTGACTCTGTGGTACCCAAGGATAACGGTAAAGTCTTCTTCCCTCCTAGGGTGTGAGGCTCTGGAAAGGGGAGCTAAGAGACATTGGGGAAGAATGAATAGGCTGTGTGTAGGGACCAGCTTCTGTGTCTCTCCTAAGATCTCTCGTATTTCCATCCTCTTGTTGGACTTTAGAAGGCTGGGGAGGAAGGCCCTTTGCATCCCCCCCACCCCACCTTGGCTTCCACTCCCCTTTTCTAACTTACCCTCATACAAAGGCCCAGATGCATGTTCAGGCTTGGATGTTCTTACCATATGAGATGAACTGTCCTTTAAATCCTTAGAAGAGGCTCTGACTCTGGGACACGTTCTGTGGGTAGGACCCCCTTTGGAAAGAAGAGGAAATATAAAGTCAGTGAAAGTCAAGTTGAGTGTAGGGGGTGATGAGAGCCAAACCAGCCCCAACCCAGGGCACTGTCCATGGTACTTTTATAAAGTAAACGTAATTCACACCCCTGAGTGCACTCTATGTCCAGTGCTCCAGGTTCTCTTTGTAACTTTCTCCCCATCCTCCCCCTTCTGCAGCCCAGCTCTCCTGCTGGCCTCACCTTTTCCAAGTTGTCATTGACCGAGGCTACCTCCGGAGGCTGGGCTACTCGTCCTGGGACATCCACTTAAATGATGAGCTGTGTCGCCCCCGAGTCACAGGGCGCTACCTGATCTTCAACATTCCCTATGGCCACTGTGGCACCATCAGACAGGTATGAAACTGACAAGGTGGTGGTACCCTTCTGTGGATGGAGGCCCAAAAGAGAGGCTTGGGAGAATCAACCACCTGTTAAAAACCTGAATAGGAACAGAGGAAAGGCACAGCCATGACTTTGGTTCTGAGTTCTGTGAGATCTGGAGCAGCTCATTAATTTGTCTAAAACTGCCCCTCCTTTTGGGAATTTGGAGTACATAGTAATAAGTATAGAGTGCTGATGGGCTGATGGGTGGATGGATGGATGGACGGACGGATGGATAGATGGATGCTATTCTCTAAACTGCAAAGCTAAAGCATTTTGTTACCACATGCTTTTTTATTCAGCAATAGTGCCCACCCGCCATGTGCAAGCTATAGTGTTGGGCTTGGGGAAGACAGGCTGAGGGCCATGTTTCTAACCAGATTTCCTAATGTAGGAAACAAATATTAAGATATTTATGTATAATCAAATGAATATGTTTATTTCATTTTGCTTAACCACCTACCTATTTTACAAACCAGTATCATTGAAATCAAGGAAATAAGTATACCAAAGATACAGGAAGAGTGTATAACCAGAAAATCATGTTCATAGGCACATTTAATAATGTAACAAGCTATAGAGAAAGATCCCTATGCTATTCATGTATTCTTTCACATCCCTGTATAGACACATGCCCCCAAAAAAGAGCACCCCAAACACTTGACATCGTTGGAGGTTGAATGCATTCAGTCTGCATGGTGCTAAATAACCCCTTTAACTCCATACTTCACATTGCATCTATTTGTGCAGACTGTAATCATTCTTATCCTCTTTGTTCTAAAAATTCTATTTTTGACCTCAGAGGTTTTCTTCCCCAGCAGTCTGCTGGAAGCTCCCCAGTGTCTGGGAGGAGAGCAGGCCCTGGACATTTCCAGTCCACTAGGGAGAACCCTGAGCCATCCTCTCTGGCCCTGGCTGGCCCAGCTCCGCCTGCAAGCCTCCTGTGCTGACCACAGGCCTGGGGCCAGAGGAGATAGCAAACCAGGGACTGCCTGCAGTGGTGGCAAGTCCCCAGGCACCTATGGGGAAAGGCAGCACTATACAAAGGTTCCATGTCCGGTTTCAGAGTCAGGGAATGAGCATTCTTCTAGAAGCCAATATGATTGACAGAACCACAGCTCCACGGCTCTCACATTGGAGAGAAAGGAGACACAGGTCCTGAGTGAACAAACGGATGAGAGTCCTTTGTCGTGAAAAGGATTAAGGGGACCGTCGTGCTGGAGAAGACTCTTGAGAGTCCCTTGGACTGTGAGGAGGTCCACCCAGTCCATCCTAAAGGAGATCAGTCCTGGGTGTTCATTGGAAGGACTGATGCTGAAGCTGAAACTCCAATACTTTGGCCACCTGATGCAAAGAACAGACTCATTTGAAAAGACCCTGATGCTGGGAAAGATTGAGGGCAGGAGGAGAAGGGGACGACAGAGGATGAGATGGTTGGATGGCATCGCCGACTCAATGGACATGGGTTTGGGTGGACTGTGGGAGTTGGTGATGGACAGGGAGGCCTGGCGTGCTGCGGTTCATAGGGTCGCAAAGAGTCGGACCCGACTTAGCGACTGAACTGACTGAACAAACAAGGAAAAGGATAGAAAATGCTTTGGGTGGAAGACCACGTTTGAATAGGGTGGTCAAAGAGCCGAGGCCTGAAAAAGGACATAAAGCAGGTACAGAGGAATAGGAGGAGAGCTCCACGTGGGGGATCAGCAGACAGGTGCAGAGGCCCCGAGGCAGCAGCCAGCTTGAAGAGGTCAAGAGAGAGACTCAGGGCCATGAACCACAGGAAGCCCAAAGTCTGGTTGGAATTGGGCAGGGCCACACGTTCCTGGAGTTTAGCTTTTCTTCTAAGCTGTGTGTTCTCAACAAGGGTGACACCCCCCTCAAAGGGGAAGAGAGATAAGGATTCTTAGGGGCAAAAAAAAGAAAGGAAAACAAGGCAGACCAGTGAGAAACACTGCTGTAAGATTTCGGGGCTTTCCTTGGAGGGTTTTCAAGGCAGACTGCCACTGGATCTGAGCCGCACAGGCTGAGGCTCCCTTGAACAGACATCCCTGGCCACGATGAGTCTCCATGGCATGCCAGACTACGGGAAAGACGCTGTTGAGGCCCCTACTCATCAGCCTCCAGCACCTTCTTGGCACCTCACAGTCGTGTTGGATTTGAAGGAGCAAGGCTGAGAACGAGGGTCTGTAGGGCCAGACACGCAGCTCACAAGGAGCCAGGGTTGGTCTGGGGTCAAGAGTTGGGCGGAGCGGTGGAGGAATTCAGCAGCTGGTGTGGACCTCCCACCCTATCTCATATTCCCCAAGCCTCGCACCCACAAGAGGGGAGAAGGGAGTCCAGACTCACACACTAGGGGTTCCCTGCATGCACCCTAAACTCCCAGAAGCAGGGACATAAGGTCAACCCCTCATGACCTCGGGTACCAGAGAGGTCATGCCTGGGGCCTCATGCCCTCCGGCTTCTGTGAGTGGTAGGCACAGAGCAGAAGTCTCCGTTCGTGAAGAAAGCGCTGGTCAGGAAGCCAGGAGCACAGGCCACCAGCTCTCCCCTCTCCTCCCAGGAAAGCCGAGGCTCCCTCAGCTACTCCAACTCCATCAGAGGCCGAACCAGGGGCCACCCCGGCCGAGTCGTCGTGCGGCACAGGGTGCCTCGGCTCAAGTTCACCTGCAGGGTGGACAGCCCGTCAGCAGTGGAAGTTGTCCCTGGGGAGAACGCTGGCTACGATGTGTCCATATCGTTCCTCGAGTGGTCCCCGTCCCAGCCTGGAGAAAACACAGGGCCACACGTCGCCAGCCAGAGGAAAGAGGTCTTCCTCCAGGCCACGCTCCACAGCCCTAACCCCAGCCTGCAGCTCTTTGTGGATAGCTGTGTGGCTTCTCCAGACCCCAGTGATTTTACAACTGTCAAGTATGATTTGATCCAGCAAGGGTAAGGAAAATGGAAGGCCCTCTCTGGTTGCTGTGGTTGACTATTTACCTGTTATTCCTTTGGGGGATCTGTTTTGTTTTATTTATAATAACTTTGTGTATTTGTCTGGGCTTCCCAGGTGGCTCGGTGGTAAAAGAATCCGCCTGCCAATGCAGGAGATGTGGGTTTGATCCCTGGGTTGGGAAGATCCCCTGGAGAAGGAAATGGCAACCCACTCCAGTATTCTTGCCTGGAGAATTCCATGGACAGAGGAACCTGTGAGGCTGCAGTCCATGGGGTCACAAAGAGTTGTCCACAACTTAGAGACTAGACAACAACAGTGTATTCATTGGTGTTTATTTCTGTCTGCGCTGGGTCTTCACTGCTGCTCACTGGGCTTGCTCTGCTCATGGTGAGCAGGGCCTGCTCTTCATTGCGGTGGCGGGGGCAGTGTCTCACTGCGGTGGCTTCTCTGTTTCAGAGCGTGGACCCGCGAGCACATGGGGGCTTCAGTGGTTGTGATGCACAGGCTTAGTTGCCCTGTGGCATGTGGAATCTTCTGGGACCAGGGATCAAATCCGTGTCCCCTGCATTAGCAGGCAGATTCTTAACCACTGGACTACCAGGGAGGTCTGATCATTGTCTTCTTAACTGGCAGTCCTAAATCAGAAAGTTGTACCCCGAGTCTTCATCCTGCCCAGAGGCGGAGCCCAGACCCTTACCATCCCTCTGATCCCAACTGAGGGCAGATAATTATAGGAAGTCTAGACAACGTCCCTTGAATCCCCAAAGAGTCCTAGGCAGAGGCCATGCTGTCTCAGGCTCTGCTGACTCATGCCTCTCTTCTCTCCAAGTTTTATAATTATTGTCTTCCCCATTCCTCAGGGTATTTGGCTAGCACTGATGGGCTGCTGGGTTATCCCAGGCCAAGCTCTTACAGTGATGAGGTTTATTCTGGCACCCTTGGTTAGACAGAACATTTGCCAAATTGGAACTCAGGCAAGATATTTGCCTTTATAGCTCTCTTATCCCCCAACCAGCGCAAAATGCTTACAGATGGGTAATTGGCAACCCATGTGAAGACATCAAAACTCACTTTCTGATGGCAGCTCCAGAGTGGTGAGAGCCACTAAAGTGGTGAGAGCTTCCTAAAGCCCCTGAGAGGTATCATGATGCCTGTTTCCAAAAATTGGGGAGGGCAAGGGGCAGCACTTTCCACAGGCACAGTGAGCCGTGGTGTGGGAGGTACATGGATGTGGCCCTCAGCCGCACTGAGTCAGAGGGAGAAAGCTCTTCCCTTTCAGGTCTCCCGTTCCAAAATTTGTCAAGGAGAGGGAGGTCCCTAGTGGTCCAGTGGTTACGACTCAGTGCTTTCACAGCCATGGCCCAGGTTCAGTCCCTAGTCAGGGAACCAAGATCCTGTAAGCCAAGTGGCTGTTATATATCAGAGAGGCCAGAATTTAACAACTGACATACTTCTGCTTATTTTATTAACAGGTTTAATTTGCTCTTCTTTCTCTAGTTTCTTAAGGTGGGAGCTTGTTGTTGTCGTTCAGTTGCTAAGCCGTGTCCAAGTCGTGACCCCATGGACTACGGCACGCCAGGCTTCCCTGTCCTTCACCCTCTCCCTGAGTTTGCTCAAACTCATGTCCATTGTGTCAGTGATGCCATCCAACCATCTCATCCTCTTTTGGCCCCTTCATCATTGTGTAATGCCCCTTTTCATCTCTAATGCTGGCTCTGATGTCTGTTTTGGCTGAAATTAATATAGCTAATCCAGCTTTCTTTTGATTGGTATTAGCTTGGTAAATCTTTCTCTATCCCTTTACTTTTAATTAATCTTTGTCTTTATATTTAAAATAGGTTTCTTATAGACAGCATATAATTGGATCTTAGTTTTTCTAATCTACTCTGGCAGTCTGTGTCTTCAAATTGGTATATTTAAATCATTCACATTTAAAGTGATAGTTGACATAGTTGGATTAAAATCTGCCGTCCTAGTAATTGTTTTCTATTTGTTGCATTTGTTCTTTGTTTCTGCCCCCAATTCTCCTTTTGCTGCCTTCTCTGGTTTTAATGCAGGTTTAATACATTTTATATGCAGGTTTTAATTCAACATTTAAGTTAATTCCATTTTAACTCCTCTCTTGATATGTCATTTACTTCTTTCTTTAGTTTTTCAGTACTTACACAAAATACATTTTAAAATAAATTAAGTTCACCTTCAAATAATACGTGCTGTGCTGTGCTTAGTTGATCAGTTGTGTCCGACTCTTTGTGACCGCATGGACCATAGCCCGCCAGGCTCCCCTGTCCATGGGGATTCTCCAGGCAGGAATACTGGAGTGGGTTGCCATGCCCTCCTTCAGAGGATCTTTCCAACCCAGGGATCAAACCCAGGTCTCCCTCATTGCAGGCAGATTCTTTACCATCTGAGCCACCAGGGAAGCCCAAGAATACTGGAGTGGGTAGACTGTCCCTTCTCCAGGGGATCTTCCCAACCCAGGAATCTAACTGGGGTCTCCTGCATTGCAGCTGGACTCTTTATCAGCTGAGCTACCAAGGAAGCCCCTCAAATGCTACCACTTTTAATCTACCCTTTTGAAAAAATAGAGTAGGTAATAGTTCTGGCTAACATTTACTTTGTTTTGGTTTTTTTATGATGTTTTACAGTGCCTTTCTCTTTCTGGCTAGGAATGGTGGTTTTTTCTTCTCATCAGTTCAGTTCAGTTCAGTCACTCAGTAGTGTCCAACTCTTTGTCACCCCATGGAGTGCAGCATGCCAGGCTTCCCTGTGCATCACCACCTCCCAGAGCTTGCTCAAACTCATGTCCATCGAGTCAGTGACATCATCCAACCATCTCATTTTTTTCATAAAAGAAAGAAAGAGTGGGTAGTGGGAAGAACTCTGGTTGAAATTCAGAGATTTGTGTCCAAGCCCAATTATTTGAGCCAGAATTAATCCACACCATGCTTAAAATTGGGGCTTCCCAGGAGGCACAGTGGTAAAGAATCCACCTGCTGATGCAGGAGACACAGAGATTCCTGATCTCTGGGTCAGGAAAATCCCCTGGAGTAGGAAATGGCAACCCGCTCTAGTATTCCCACCTGAAAAATTGCATGGATAGAGGAGCCTGGCAGGCTGCAGTCCATGGGGTCAAGAAGAGTCCAATATGGCTGAGCAACCAAACAACAAACAACAGCGTGCTTTAAGTTAATCCTCTTGACCTGGGGTTTTTCTTCCCATCAGGTGCATCAAAGACAATACTTACATCAACCTGCACTCCCGGCAAAAGAATGTAGCCCGATTCAAGTTCAACATCTTCAGCATTCTCACCAGCTATGACGTGATCTATCTGCAGTGTAAGATCACCATCTGCAAAGTGGGGGACCATTCCTCCCGCTGCCCCCAGGGCTGTGCAGGGCGGAGCAAGAGGGGCACAGGCCTCAGGAAGGCCACAGGAGAGCAGACTGAGCATTTCCAAATAGTGGGACCGCTGCAGATCCACAAAGGAGCTGATCAGAGAAAGACTCATGGGTGATTTCTCCGAGTTTCACATCAACCTGCTAGAAATTGGAAGCAAATTCTATTTCTGCTCAGCGAAGTAATGTTGGATAAATCTGAGGTTGTCCTCGGAGAGACAGATAAAAGCACTAAAGAGGTTCTCTTTGAGGCTGATTGCTAAGTAAATCTTGTCTGATTACCAAATTTCTAAGGCAATTGCTCTCTTTGCAGCTAGGAATCTTGCATTTTTTAATTCTTCACTATCAAGAATTTGATCACTGTCTTAAACTGTACAACATGTCAGAAGAAAAGTTCTCTCTTGATACCACACTGCACTTTAAAGATATTTTTGGCTCCTTAATGTTTAGATGCTAGTAGGTGGATCTTTTTGTTTCTGTCCCTCTGGTGGTGTGAGAATTTATTTTTAGATCTTGCCAAGGGCCCTGTGAAGAATAAACTAAGTGTCTATCACAAAATCACCGCTCTTTTTTTTTTTTAAACTATAGTCATTGGTCAGTTGAATCAAATGTCGTTCACTCATTGTTGTTTACACAAAATGAGCTTTATTTGTCTGTTTCAAAGAAAACAAATTGGGCCTTGGCTTTGTTGAGTTTGGGTTAAGCTTGCGAATGAGAGCCTGAGCAACGATTACAGGAACCCCTCAGGACTGCTCTGTGGGCTACCATGGGCTTCGTCTGTTTCCCAGATCTTCAAAGCCTCATGGGAAACCTGAAAGGCAGACAAAGAAAGATTAGCGTAGTCCCATGTCCTCCCTGAAACGCAGGGCAGCACCCACATAATCTAACCTCTCCTTATATCTGAACAGAAAGAATTCTGCACTAGGCTCAGTGCCCTCAAAGTTGTCTTTAAAGAAACAGACTTTTTTTTCTTTTGTTTTTCAAGAAATATTTAGTAACGATATTTAACACATGAGCTCTCAAGTCCAGGGGATATTGTTCCCATCTTTGTCAATAAATAGCATGTACCAGATGATAATACACTATTGTCCAGTCCCTCAGGGAGGAGGGCAGGGTTTGATGAGGCCCAAAAGTGAACCCGAGATTCTTGAGAGATAAAAATCTGATAAGTGACTTGAGGAGGGACATTGCCTCTAAAGCGAGACATATCAGTTTCACTGTAAACATGGCCTTCACTGAAAACCATCTTGGTAAAAGTAAATTCTATGCAGATACATGTAGAAGTTGATATGCAATTAATTGTCAGTTTGATGAAGATAGCATCTTTATATCCAAAGTTGATTATCTCTCACAAGTAACTTCATCCTCAGTCACATGAAACAATGATTTTAGCATCTGGCATCTATTTTGTGCAAGTGCTTCAAATTTTTTTTAAAAAAAGAGTTTTTCCAGGTTACCAAGAGCTGCTAGAGTTTCCACTTTTAAAAGTTCACCTGCCCATTAATGGTACCTGTCTAAATCTTGCAGAGAAAGCAGAAGGCTAAGAGCTTCCAAAATTAGCACCTTATAGCTTTTATTAGCAAATCCCTAATGTGAAAAGTGTTGACAATTAATGCACTGAACTTTCAAGAATAAATAAATAAGGGACTTCCCTTGTGGTCCAGTGGCTAACACTCCATACTCCCAAGGCAGGGGCCCTGGGTTCAATCCTTGGTCAGGGAACTAGATCCCACATGCCACAACTAAGTCTTCACATGCTGCAACTAAAGTTCTTGCATACTCAGCTAAGACCTGGCACAGCTAAATAAATACAGAAATAAAAATTTTTTTAAGAAAAATAAATTTGGGTCCAATGAACTTCCAGTTCAGGTACTCTGGGTATAGTTCAGGGAATGGGACCCAGGAAGCTACTCTTTCCAAAAGCACTCAGATGATTCTTAGGAATGAAGAAGTTTGAAAACCATGACTACTGTTCAGCATCTCATGTCATACGGATCAAAATGCACTTAACAAGAAGAAAGGTACAAACTGGAAGCTCCAATTAGTACAGACAAAATGGCCTGAGAGAAGCCTGCTCTCTCTAGCCAGAGGACCAACAAAGAGGCAGCCAGGCAGTTCTAGAAAACTCTGAGGCAATAGCTTACTTGCTCCATGGGTAAAATTGTGGCCCCACCCCTAGCCTAGCCAGCAAAGGTGAAGTGGGGCGCCTGGACTTCCCCCTGCTCTCAGTGCCCCTTACCTATCTTCTCCCCTCTCCTCCCCTCCCCTGCCTAGGGTGTTATCAGAGAAGGCAGAGTAAAGAGCTGGGCAATGAGGACCCCCCTGCACCCTCAAGTCAGGTGGAGCCTGGACTTTCAGCTCCACCCAGCAGGTCTGAGACACTCCTTTGAGGCTGCTATAGAAAAATAACATTGATATTATATATTATATGCTAATTGTGCATTGTATAGCTTAATCACTCCACTACAAAGGAGTTTTTTTTTAAATTCCTGGTGATAGGATTTTACAGTCTCTAGTGGGTCACAATATTTGGCAGGTTTCATAGTATTATGCTATTCCACCTGATACACCTCTGAATACACCTCTTGCATGGCCATCAGCAGGTGTTCAGTCAGTTCCTGATAGAAGAATGGTTGATGGGCCAGTAACCAGACAGTTTTCAAGTGCTGCTTGTAAATACTTAGTTTGATTTTCCCAATCTAGTTAAGTTCTTTTCACATTAGAAAAGATCTTGGCAGTAGCTGAGTTTAAATTGTATGAAGGAATGCAGAGGAGACTGACCCACATGGCCACTGGGGGAAGTATTTCGAAGATCTACATGAAACTATTAACAAGAAAATGGGGGGGATCTGTTTTGATTTGGACATGGAATCCAATCAGGCGCCTAAGGACTTGTTTGCCTTTATCTCCATGGTGTATCCCCTGGCACATGAGTATACATCCTCATATATAGGAGTAAGAGAAAGCCTTTGGGCATCAGGAAAGTGGCTGCCGGTTGGGCAGCCCTCCTTCCCATTTTACATTAAGGAAACTGAGGCTCAGAGAGGTAAAGCAACTTCTTCAGTGGCACAAGCTTGTGAAAGGCACAGTTGGTTTTGAACCAAGTCTGCCTGGTTCTAAAGTCTCTCTGTTACGTTCTGTTCCTACTGCTCACCAGAGGTGTGTCTCAAAGAACCCCTTACTCCATCCTGCCTCCCTCAAGGACCCTGCAATGCCTGGACTTAGGGTGTACTCCCCACATTTGGAACACACTTGCCCAGGGCCTCCTGGGTGCTGGGCGCTGTGCTGACCACTGAGTGGGGCTCAGGGGGAAATTGCACTGATGCTCAGGGGCTTGCTGGTGACAAGAGAAAATCCAAGTGCACTTGAACTCCTAAGATGAGGCAGGAAGTAGTAGATGCCAGGAGAGGAAGTGCTCCAAGGACACCCAAGAAGGGCTCATCATTTCCACCTGGAAGGTTTGGGGCAGGCTCCAGGGAAGGTGCAGGCTTGAATTTGCCTCTCGAAACCGTTACTGAGGCTGGGGGCACTCATGTCACCCTCCAGGGAGCTTCTCAGCCATTCCAAGGGCTACTGTGTGAGAGCAGCTCACCCTGCTGCCTCTGAAGTGCTGGATATACCTTCCTCGGCCAAGCCCTCAGCTTAGAGGACTGCCTCTCCGCCAGGAGGCGACCTCTTCCAAATGCTTAATTCTACCATTGTTTTCTCCCTGTGAGCCTAGAGCTAGTAGTTATTTCTCATGATTTCCTGTTATCCTTTCATCCTTTTTAGTAGGTAACCAACCACTTGTTACTAGTTAATTCCTTATCTTGAGTAAAACACGGGATGCTAACTAAGCAAAGGCTGTGCTAATGAGGGAAAGTACAAACTCTGGCTACAAATGGAGAGTCTGGGGTTGGAGCGGGGTTTCAGAGGAAAGAGCAAGGAAAGGAGCAGCCCAAGCAGGAATGAAAGGGGTGCATCCTCCTGCCTGTTACTGAGACCAGAAGGATCTGGGCTTCACCACTCAGCAGGTTAAAGATACTGTCTGCAGTTAAAGATACTGAAACAGCCGAGTCAGCAAAAATCAATGTTAACAGTGATGCAAAAAGAAGGAAAATCGGCTTCTGAAGATTTGGAGGGTAGCAGGAGGAGGCATCTCAGGTTTTTTAAATGTCCTTTTGACACCACAGAGCTCAACCCCTTCGTTATACAAATCAGGTGCCCTCCACCCAGAGAAAAGCCTCCTGGCTTATACCCCCTGGGATGAATGGAGGTTCCCTCCTGGCCATGTAACAATGTCCATGGCAGAGCAAGCTGGGTGAGAGTGAAGGAAGCCAGTAGAAGGAGAAGGGCTCGGGCACGGGAAATTTATAGCAGAGTCTGACACTGGAAACACTCTAACATCTATTTTTTTTTCCTGGGGTTGTATATATAGATTACTCTTAACTCTCCTTATATTGCAATATAATAAGCTAGTTGCCCCAAGTCCCAAAGTAGGTAAGACACAAATTTAAGTACTTTTACAACTAACAACAACAACAATACTGGAGGCAGAGAGGGTTATTTTCAATATTGCATTTATTCAAAAGCACATAAATATGGTATATAGTACATGATATAATGGAAACAGTATAAAACTTGACTTGAATAATAAAAGACTCTACTAAGAAAGAAATATTGTTCATGAAGATATTTGTACCCACCCAAGTCAGAGCCCCTCGTTTACATTACAGCAGCATGGAGGCAGGGCATCGAAGCCAGGATACAAGTTACATTCGTCACAGCACTGGAGGCTGGGGTACGACCCAGCGGTGAGGGCCGCACTGACCTTGTCCGGGGTGACCACAGCTGGATTATTTTTTAAGGCCAAACAAACAGGTACCTTTGGCATGCTTTAGAAAAGACATACACAGAGTATAGGATTAGAATTTTTCTTCTTGGTCCACCTATTGCAACTGTCAGGGGGATCTGGAGAATTTGGGGCTGGAATCAATCAAACCCATGACACCAGCCCAAGATGAAAGCAACTCTGCCCTCATCCCAAGTTCCTGTCCAATCTCTTCCTCTCCTAAGAGTGCCAGAAATGTAAGATCAGGTTCCAGCAAATGAGGGAGAGTGAGTTGCAAGCGCGGGTCACCCAGGTGATCACTGCAAGTCTGCCAAGTGCAGAGCACAAGCCGGGAGGGTGCTGAGTCAGCCGCCCCTGGACCCTCAGGTGCTCGGAGTTACCTTCCTGCTCACAGAATGAACTTCCCTAGAATGGGAACACGACTGCTGCTGGGTTTTGGCTTTTTTTTTTTGTATTCTCCCCACTTATCACATAAAGAATCTGAGACATGGAGAAGCACACTGCCTTGATCAAACACATACAAGTAGAGGAGGAGCTGGAAATAAAAACCAGGTCATTCAAAGCTTGATGCAGGACTCTGCGGCAAACATGCTGTCTCCTTGGAACGTTAACGCATGGGAACACCACTGCTTCTGACAACCAGTCTCGCCCATATCTGAGGCCTCCTTTCCCCCAAATTTAACACTCCCTTTTCTGATTTACACTCCCTGGTGAGGCAAAGCCCAGGATCTTCACACAACTCAACTTCCCCAGGGTCCTACAGGCCCATCCCACTATGCCTGGAGCCAAGGACCCGCTGAGCGCGCCCCAACTCAGGCGGGGGGAGCATCAGCTCAGCCCATCCTCTGAGTGAACATAGCAGACTCAGTCACGCTGTCTTCAGTCTGCAGTCCTGTGGGATCAACCCGCTAAGGGTAAACCCGGGGAGGCCAAGGGACGGCAAAGCAGCGCAGACCCAGCGGCTGAGAATATTCTCCTTGTGAGCTCACAGCCCCAGACCAGAAGGGGCAGAAAGCCAGATCCTACCCTCCCCGCCTCGGTCCTCTCAAACCCTCCTGCTGTTCCTGACCTCACCCAGGGTGCGGCCACAGGGCCGGGGATGACCCCGCTCAAGCACAGAGCCCCAGGATCCCATGCGAGGGGGTGTTAGCCCCTCTTACCCACATCACTCACTTCAGTGCGTTGGCTACTTTGTAGTAAAGACAGATGACGACGGCCATCAGAACGAGCATGGCCAACAGGATAGCACCACCAATGCAGAACATAATTATCGCGTTAACTTTGGAGTTTTTATCTAGGCAGAGAAGTACAGGCAAGCAGTGAACGTGGCTTCCCTCCTCACAGTCACTTAGCAACCACAATATGCTTCCTTCAGTGGAAGAAGAAAGAACCCAATGCTTGTAAAGCACAAATGAGTCTTCCTAGAGGGGTGCCCAGGACCATAAGTGGGCCTAGAGATGGGGGGAAATGTTCATTTCTAAGTGAGATGGGACTCAAACACAAAGTCCAGAGAGAAAGAAGGAAAGACAGTGGGAAGAATCTTTTTTTTCTCTTTCACATGCAGCAAAGTGCAGCTGTAAATAACAAACCTGCCTACACTGGAGCAAATGATTTTACTTCCAAACATCTGGGCCTCCAGGTTCACTTTCAGAGTCACCTCTGTTCCCTTTCAGAGTCAGAATTAAACCACTGCTGTACATTAGGCTTAAAAATCTCCAACAGCAATTATTAAGGGAACAACTTTCTTAAAATGTTATGTTCATAGTCCTAAGAATATACTCATCTCTCTTGTAAGAGATATGTGTTTCAGGAAAAGGAAGTTTTTCCATTCTCCCTCTGACAACTGCCAATTTTCTCCTAAACCCTAAATCTTTCCAGGAAGTGTAAGTTATGTGGAATAAGCAGTTTATTTAATCTAATGCCTTTAAACTCGGGTAAAGTGACTCGGAAGAGAGAACGAAACCATCCAACCGCCAAAGCATACTTACGAGAATCTAAGTCGTCAAAGCTGGATGAAGGCTGACAGTAAAAAAAAATTACAATTAAAATAAACTTGAGGGAACAGTACATCTTATCAGGGATTTCTCAAACTTTTAATTTGAGAAAGAAAATTCTAACTGTCCCTGTTAAGAGTAATTGAGATGTAAGTTTGAAGAGCTCGCTTTTAGAAGTACAGCCTCCACCAGAGCAGAATGGAGAATCAACTGTCCACCTCCAACTTCTGTGCCAATCAGGCCATATGCTGTGTGACATCAACTCTTTGGACATCAGCTCTCTTTCATGGAGTTCTGAATTCCATTCCATGTTCAGATATATTGTGGCACCAGTGGACATGTAAATGCCCAAATACTATTTTAAATCATTTCATTTCAATCTCACATTTTCAGGTTTTGTTTCTCTCAGAGGACTTTTTAAAGGTTTGACTGTTAATCAAAAGCAAATCTGGGGGTTCAATATAATAAAAAGACAGTGATGTGGGGAGGCTAATATCTAAAAATGCTCAATATTTGTAAAGGTACAATTATAGAAGTCTGCTTAGACTCTGTTTTAGCAACACAAAGAAATAGTATATACTTGTAGCCACGTAATAGGATTCAGATATAAGTTCACTGAATGACTTCAGAATATTATCATACTTTATGGTTAAGACAAAAAGATTTCAAAAAGCAATTTGAATATCAGGATATCTTTTAAATCGAGGTTCTATGATTTTAACGTACTCACACCAGCAAAGCTGGTTCCATTAAATGAAAGAATTAATTTAACTACAAAGGGTTAGTCCTTGCTGCTCTGGCCAATCCCTGGGTGAGGTTACAAATAGCAGGGAGTTATCACCCTGCCAAAAATGCCAAAAATGCCAAAAATGGTGCATAAGATCTCTGAAAATTCTCTCCTCTATAAAAGCAATAAAAATCTGGCAAACAAAACAAAACAAAAACTGTCAGAATCAGGTTTTTCTGACTCTGAATACTAACTATAAGCTTTTAGCAGCTCAGGGAATATTTAAGAACAACTGAATTTCAGTATGAACAGCATGCTAGCATGCCTTGTGGCTGTTTCACCATTCATTCTCCAGCTCCATGAAGACTTCTTTTTTTCTTTTTTTTAAAATTTATTTTTATTAGTTGAAGGCTAATTACTTTACAATACTGTAGTGGTTTTTGCCATACATTGACATGAATCAGCCGTGGATTTACATGTGTTTCCCATCCTGATCCCCCCTCCCACCTCCCTCCCCATCCCATCCCTCTGGGTCTTCCCAGTGCACCAGCCCTGAGCACTTGTCTCATGCATCCAACCTGGGCTGGTGATCTGTTTCACCCTTGATAGTATACTTGTTTCAATGCTATTCTCTCAGAACACCCCACCTTCGCCTTCTCCCACAGAGTCCCAAAGTCTGTTCCGTACATCTGTGTCTCTTTTTCTGTTTTGCATATAGGGTTATCATTACCATCTTTTAAAATTCCATATATATGTGTTAGTATACTGTATTGGTCTTTATCTTTCTGGCTTTCTTCACTCTGTATAATGGGCTCCAGTTTCATCCATCTCATTAGAACTGATTCAAGTGAATTCTTTTTAATGGCTGAGTAATATTCCATTGTGTATATGTACCACAGCTTCCTTATCCATTCGTCTGCTGATGGGCATCTAGGTTGCTTCTGTGTCCTGGCAATTATAAACAGTGCTGCGATGAACATTGGGGTGCACGTGTCTCTTTCAGATCTGGTTTCCTCAGTGTGTATGCCCAGGAGTGGGATTGCTGGGTCATATGGCAGTTCTATTTCCAGTTTTTTACGGAATCTCCACATTGTTCTTCATCATGGCTGTACTAGTTTGCATTCCTACCAGCAGTTTAAGAGGGTTCCCTTTTCTCCACACCCTCTCCAGAATTTATTGCTTGTAGACAAACCACAGCAGGATCCTCTATGACCCACCTCCCAGAATATTGGAAACAAAAGCAAAAATAAACAAATGGGACCTAATCAAACTTAAAAGCTTTTGCATAACAAAGGAAACTATAAGCAAGGTGAAAAGACAGCCCTCAGAATGGGAGAAAATAATAGCAAGGGAAGCAACAAAGGATTAATCTCAAAAATATACAAGCAACTCCTGCAGTTCAATTCCAGAAAAATAAATGACCCAATAAAAAAAATGGGCCAAAGAACGAAACAGACATTTCTCCAAAGAAGACATACAGATGGCTAACAAACACATGAAAAGATGTTCAACATCACTGATTATCAGAGAAATGCAAATCAAAACCACAACGAGGTACCATTATACGCCAATCAGGATGGCTGCTATCCAAAAGTCTAGAAGCCTTATTTTCAATAGCCCAGATCCAACGCCACCAACCAGATGGAGGAGGATAGAACTAGAGCTCTTTCAAAGCCTCATTCCCAAGAGGTCATTACCTGACTCATCTGCTGGTTTTCTCAAAGACCTCACTTACAAAGCTATCTGTATCTGACTCAACTTGGAGTCCATTCAGTGCAAGAAGTCTTCTCACAGAACTTCTGGCAAAAAGTTCTCACTTCCTGGCTCTCTGAGCAGTGGATAATATTTGGGGCAAATGATTGTTGTCTGTCAGCTATTAAGCTAATCAATAGAGACTTCAGTGTCCACACACAACAAAGAATTCAGACTTTACACAGAATTAGTTTAGAAAAATCACTAAGCAAACAAGCATAATAAGCGGCAACAATAACAAAACTTGGAGAATGGGGAGAACCTGATCCCCAGAGTTGCCATGTTGTATTACAGTATTTTATCTCGCTTTTGGGGGAGAAGAGGGGACACAGCATGTGGCTTGTGGAATCTCAGTTCCCTAACCAGGGACTGAACCCAGGCCATGTGGTAAAAGCCTGGAATCCTAACTACTAGGCCATCAGGGAACTCTATATTATTTTAAATGTGCAATTTTCAATAAAAGGTAAGACATGCAAATAAACAGGAAAGTATGGCCCATAAAATGAGAAGGAGGCAAGAAATCAATAAAAACTTTCCCTGAAGAAGCCTAGGTGTTGGCTCTGCTTGACAAAGACTTTAAATCAGCTATTTTAAACATGTCTAAAATAAACCACTTCTAAAGAACTAAAGCAAAGTATGAGAATAGGGGGAAAAAAGAAAATTCATTGGAGGGGTTCAACAAATGATTTGAGCAGGCAGAAGAAAGAACTAGAAGACTTGAAGATAGGTCAATTGAAATTATTCAGCCTAAGGAGCAGAAAGAAAATATAAACTATAATGAACCTTCCAATTTCCACTCAAAATGTGGAGTTTGGGAACTGTCATCCTCAAAATAAGAAAACAATCAGAACCAATCGAAAACCAACAAGTCTTCTTAAGTCAACAAGAGAATTGAAGTCACAGGGAAAATGGCCACCCCTCCTCCCCATGGGCTTCCCTTTGGCTCAGCTGGTAAAGAATCCGCCTGCAATGCAGGAGACCTGGGTTTGATCCCTGGGTTGGGAAGATCCCCTGGAGAAGGGAAAGGCTACCCACTCCAGTATTCTGGCTTGGAGAATTCAGTCCATGGGGTCACAAAGAGTCAGACACAACTGAGCGACATTCACTCACTTCACTCCCCAAAAAAGCTGAGAGGCTGGTGAATACAGAGAATCATAGCATTCAGCATACCAGGAGCAGAAGCCACTGCTGGAACCAGCAACGTGTAATAACACTTAAATAGTAACTGAGGAATTGCTGGAGAGTCAATAAGGACTAGCTTAAGAAAAAAAAAAATCCCCCTGGGGTCTCAGTTTTGGTTTTAGTGAAGGCGGGCACTCTTTCATGAGTTTTACCTCTGGGAGATCAATTAGGTTTTTATGGTGAACACTGAAAAAAAATCCCTCATGTTTTTGGTCTCCAATGACACCATTGTGGAGGTGTCTTTGTTACTGCTGGGAGATAGTAAAAATCCTGAATTTCCTCTAGGCTTCCTCTGACACCACCCGAGCAGTTAGGTGGAGTAGTGTTTCATATCCACCAGGTGAGAGTGGGAGTTCAGAGTTCCAAGGTGTCCACTGATACCACAGAGAATAGGAAGAGGTGTTACTGACTACCTAGGGATGAAAGTCTCAGCTCTACTCAGCCTTCTCTGGCACTAGCGTGGAGACAGGGGCTTGGGAAGTCTCTTTACAGCCTGGTGGAATGGGAGTCCAGTTTCTCCACGCAGTCTCTGCTGGGGGAGGGGAGTTGTGGGGAGATGGGGAGGAGTAGGGCCATAGTTTTTTCTGTGGTATTTGGCTGGAATACTGTCTTTTTAGGCTGCTTGTTTCCTACTCCTTTGGATAGAAACATAGGCTTTTGTTGGGCTTTTCTGTCTGCCCCCAATGGTGTTTGCAGGTTGCCAGCTTCTTCAGCTCCAAGTCTGGAAATGTGAGGAAAAAACAAAATCCAGGGGACATACCACCACGTTTCCTTGAATCTCAAAGGTTACTAGCTAGTCTGTTTTCTTCTCTCCATCTTTCAGAGTCTTGCTTTACACGTTCAGGGTTTAGTTGCACAGTTAATACAAAACATAAGGTACTTAGACAGCATATTAAAAAGCAGAGACATTACTTTGCCAACAAATGTCCATCTAGTCAATGCTATGGTTTTTCCAGTAGTCATCTGTGGATGTGAGAGTTGGACTATAAAGAAAGCTGAGCACCAAAGAATTGATGCTTTTGAACTGAGCTGTTGGAGAATACTCTTGAGAGTCCCTTGGACAGCAAGGAGATCCAACCAGTCCATCCTAAAGGAGATCAGTCCTGAAAATTAATTGGCAGGATGGATGTTGAAGCTGAAATTCCAAAACTTTGGTCACCTGATGCGAAGAGCTGACTCACTGGAAAAGACCCTGATGCTGGGAAAGATTGAAGGCAGGAGAAGGGGACGACAGAGGATGAGATGGTTGGATGGCATCACCAACTCGATGGACATGAGTTTGAGCAAACTTTGGGAGTTGGTGATGGACAGGGAAGCCTGGTGTGCTGCAGTCCATGGGGTTGCAGAGTCGGACATGACTGACTGAACTGACTGAAGGAAAGGTACATCTACTCCATCTTACCAGAACATGGGAGATTTTGAAATCCACCCTCTACTTAACGATGAAAGCCACCGTGTCAACCCTTCACTTGTCCGACCCTGAGTGAACATCTTAAATTCTGCACCCAGGCACTTCCTGTGTGTCAAGCCCCTAAATGGGGCCTGTCCACATCTCTACTTATCTTTCCAGCCTCATTTCCCGCTGTATTTCCCCACACCCAATGTATCTTCATGCCTGAGCCTTGGCTAGATGGCTCGCTAGTCTCTCCTTCTCTATCTGCTGAAATACTAATTCTGCAAAGCTTCACAAAAACACCATTTCCTCTGTAAAATCTTCACTGATTCCCATCCGCCCCGCCTCCCATGGTAGTTGCTCCTTTTCCTCTGCCTCCATGACCTTTGCTTGTACCTCTCTGAATATGTGAATTTCATTTACCTTAAGAGTCCCTTGGACTGCAAGGAGATCCAACCAGTCCATCCTAAAGGAGATCAGTCCTTATTGTTCATTTGAAGGAACGCCAACACTTTGGCCACCTCATGGGAAGAGCTGACTCATTAGAAAAGTCCCTGATGCTGGGAGGGATTGGGAGCAGGAGGAGAAGGGGACGACAGAGGATGAGATGGCTGGATGGCATCACTGACTCGATGGACATGAGTTTGAGTAAGCTCTGGGAGTTGGTAGTGGACAGGGACAGCCTGGCGTGCTGCAATTCATGGGGTTGCAAAGAGTCGGACAAGACTGAGTGACTGAACAGAACTGAACTGAAGGTTTTTCAGCTCCTAACAAACATTTAAGTAAAGGAAACTATTATGCTCACCCTCACTGAACCCAATACTTTGAATTAAATTAACTGTGGGTTTCCTTTCTTCTCACTCAAAAATGCTTTATTTTTCCAAGTATTTTTTCCCTACTCCTTCCTGTTGAAGCAGCAATGATTCTGAGGTGAACAGTCTTGAATGAGCTAAGTCATGATTAAGGACACAGGCTATGTTGACTTTCCTTACAGAGCTGACCGCTTCATCTCTTGGTTTCCTTCTAATCCTGTGGTTACTTGATTGCTGAGTTACTGGATGACTCTGTACATTGAAAGTGTTTTTTTCAAGGTGCGAATTTTCTGAGGAACAAACTCTGGATCCCCCAAGTATCAGAAAGAGTCTAGAACCCATCAGGTGCTAGCATGTGTCACGGACAATGACTCAAACATGAACTTTATCAATCGAGTAACAATTTACCCCACCTGAGCCTCTAAATTCAGACACAGAAATAAATGAAGACATACCCATTTACCCCAGGAAAACTGCACAAAATTCAAAGTGTGTTTCCATAAAGATTCTGAAACACAGTGGCACTCATTTGTTGAGAACTTGTCTACTTTTGCTGTCAAGGTAAAACAGCAGCCTCGAGTAGTGTCAACAGAAAATGGCCTACAAAAGTTTAAAAATTTATTCAGTTTGGTTCAGTTCAGTTGCTCAATTGTGTCCGACTCTTTGCGACCCCATAGACTGCAGCACACCAGGCCTCCCTGTCCATCACCAACTCCTGAAACATACTCAAACTCATGTCCATAGAGTCGGTGATGCCATCCAACCATCTCATCCTCTGTTGTCCCTTTCTCCTCCTGCCTTCAATCTTTCCCAGCATCAGGGTCTTTTCCAATGAGTCAGTTCTTCACATTAGGTTGCCAAAGTACTGGAGTTTCAGCTTCAGCATCAGTCCTTCCAGTGAATATGCAGGACTGATTTCCTTTAGGATGGACTGGTTGGATCTCCTTGCAGTTCAAGGGACTCTCAAGACTCTTCTCCTATACCACAGTTCAGAAAAATTTATTATGTGGCTCTTTACAGAAAGCTTGTCAATCTCTGATGGAACATCAGATGCATCCTCTCATCAGACTGTTACATCTCCTTTAACTTCTGTCCCAAGTCTCAAGGTGAATAATATAAAAACTTTTAAAATAAAAAAATAAAAGGTACATCACAAGAAAAGGATACAAGTCAAAGAAATTTTTTTCATAATTGCATATTTACTGAAAAATACATCAGAATAATGTAAATGTGACTTTCTAAAGCAAGTGAAGAAATAAAAAAAAATATACTTCAACTGACATGCTAAAAAAAATAAAAAACCTCCTCGGTGAAAGAAATAAAAACCATAAAGATATTTGTTCCAGCATTTCCAGGTTAGATTTCTTCACACAAATGAACTGTGGCAGGGGTGGCAAAAAAGAGCTCACCTGTAATTGGTGAAATGCCACAATATTATTCTCTAAGGCTCCATAAATTATCTAACAACTAAAGAGGTAGGAAATACTAGATTTTTCAGGATTATCTTCTTCCAAACTGTTACATGCTTCTTGTGACAATGTCATTGTTTTCAATGTTTTGCTTCAACACCCTTGCGATATATTTTTTACAATTAGATTTGTGGAGTTATTCTAAGACCATGCTGCTACTGCTATTTAGACCCTAAGTCCCATCGGAGTCTATGTGACCACATGAACTATAGCCTGCCAGGATCCTCTGTCCATGGGATCCTCCAGGCAAGAATATGGAAATGGGTTGCCATTTCCTTCTCCAGGGGATCTTCCCAACCGAGCAATGAACCCGAGTCTCTTGCTTGGCAGGTGGATTCTTTACCACTGAGTCACCTCTACGGTCCACTTTTTTCACAAGGTAGGGCTGACAGAAAGGGGCAGAAAGGGATCATAGGTTTAACTATCCCCCGGGCATCTGAAAAGTTCCATCCAATACCATTTTTCAGCACCAAAGTTTAAAGGCCCTTCAGGTCCAGCTCAGATTCTACAGCTCCACAAGAGACCCAACGCCGCCTTCCTAATCTCTCCTCCCTGGCCTGGAGCGCAGACCAGTGGGGCAAGCCCCTTTCGGGCCCTTGTCTTTCTCCACTTTCCATCCGACCCGGTGGGGCCCGATCGTGGGCCCCAGGGGACACGAGAGGGGTCCGGATCAGCTGAAAGGATGACGTCCCAGGGCCCCAAACCTTCTCTAGAAATTCGCCCCGGCCCCACAGCTGCGGGGTACGCCGTCCAAACCTCCTCGGCGAAAGCCGCACTGCGGGCACCCACCTGATACCCTCGGAGGAGAGTGCGTGTGGGAGCTGGGTGAGGAGTGAGAAGGCGACACCACGGCCCGCCCGCGCAGTTCCCGGACCCCCGCACCACAACCGCCATCAGCAAAAACTATCGGCGTCCACTCCAGAGACACACAGGGTCGAGAAGAGGTCCTTCAGATCTCGAGAGCAACGAACACCACACCGAACTCAAGATGGACTCTCCTCATTGGGCCAACCAAACACGGTCAGCCCAGCAAAAGGGGAGCGTCACCACCTGCTTCAGCTCTAGGGGTAACGTAGAATAACCGTTGCGTACCCGCGCGCTCTGCACCGCGCCTGCGCAAATCCCAGGGTTGTACCAGGCTGCCAGTGCGCACGCGCCGCCCTCCAGCTCTTTCCCCAGCGCCTTGGGAACCCCGCCAACGAAACTGGCCGGCACGCGCATGCGTGTTTACGGTAGCTGGTGTCTTCCCGACGCCGCCTGGAAACCACGGCTCTCAGGTTTGCTGCCGGCCGAGCCGGAAGTTGCCCTTAACCGTCCTTGGTCTGGCGAAAATTAAAGAGCTATAAAGAGAGGTTCCGGAGCCGGCTTGGTCCCTAGGTGGCCGAATGGAGACCGAGACTGTACACGCGCCATGGACCCGGCGCCCGACCCTGGCCTCTTCCTGGGATGCCGCATGCGGAGCCTTGGCCCAGAGTCTCCGTCTCACCCGGGCTGGTCTCGGCGCCCGAGACGCCGACTGGGAGGAGCTGCTGGCGCCGCCCGCCGCAGGGTGCGCTGGGCCGGCGGGGCTGGGTTATGCTCGGGGACACAGCCGCGCTCCTGGGGGAGCCGCGAGGGGAGGCGGGGACCCTGAGGGGAGAGGGTCTGCGCCCGAAATGCGGGAGCCGAGCGGGTGACGGGGCTGTGCGGGAGGCGAAGGCGAGACGGCCGGGCCGGGGTGTCGGGAGGACAGAGGGTCGTCCGCGGGAAAGCTGAGGGGACTCAGGTGTGAATGTTGGGGACGGGGCGGGGGGGGGGGGGGCAGGTGAGCGGGAGACAGCGTTTCACACATACTCGCCTTGAGTCCATCTCGTTGGCTCCTGAGGCCCCTTGTCGGGATCAGAACCGGCCTCTTAATCGGAAACAAAAACCTCCTGTCTACCAAAATAGGCATTTAAAAAAATCCAAATGTCGAAAACCTTCATAAACTTGATTTTGAAAGTGGCACACTTTGGTCCTTTATTCCATTCTGCACCCCCAGTCACACACACACACACACACACACACACACACACACACACACACACACACACTTATAGCCACCACCGCCCCCCCTTATTTTAAATTTCATGCTAGCCGCCCAGTAAATATATTTCATTAACTGGGCAGGCAATTACAGGAAGTCGCATACAATGTTGATAAAGTCAAGGGAAAATACTGGAGACCCTCGCGTCTAAAGCATCATTTCCTCATGATTTCTGTATTGAACATTTATTTGGTCAGTGTTTTGGAGTGCACTTGGACTCCAAATGCAGACGTAAGTGAACTGGATAATATGTCAACCCTGTGGCCCATTAACTGGTTAATGACAGTGTTCAGAGAACTATAGGTATATTCTTCATTTTCTTTTCAGCCAGGATCTGGTGATTTTGAAAAGGAACCTGAACAGCCAAGATGAAAACCCCTGCTTCCTTCACCTGAGATGTGACCCTCATGGAGGTGAAGAAATCGTTTCTATTGGCATTTTAAGCTCAGCAAGAAATATGGAAGTATACTTAGGAGAGGAGTACTGTGGAACCAGTAGGGGCAAGCATGTTTGTAATGGTCTGGATAACAGGTGTGTGACTTCTGCATGTGCAAGTGTTCTTCTGAAGTGTTTCATTTTTTTGAGCTTTTGCAGTATTTGTTGATTCTCTGACATTGGTGCTAAACACTAGAAGAGAGAAGATAAAAACATAGCAGCAGAGGTAGAAGTTTAGGCCTTTAGGGATCTTAAAGACAATCTAGAGCAGCCTAATTGTTTTTATAAATGTGGAAATGGAGAGCAAATGGAAGAGAGAGAAGTTGGTAATATATCATAGCTAGTTAGTGGAAGAGTTTTATTAGAATGAAACTCTGCTAAGTGTTTCACATTTGTTTTCTTTAACTTACAAGGCTCTGTTTCCCAAAAATTAATTTGCCTTATCAGTCTGGAACTTTGAACATTTTTCTGTAGGAAACCCTTTACAAATAGGACATGAACTTAAGACTGCCATACCAGCATACTTAACCCATTTATTATACCTCCCCCCCCCCCAATTTCTTATGAAGATTCTGTCTTAATCGTTCCTTAATATGAATCAAAATGTGAACTGTCCATGTTGTATATAATGGATATGTTCTTGAACTTTATGGTGTACTCTGTGCTACATAATTATACAGTTGGTATAATTTAATTTTCTCATGTAGCTAGCAAGTGGCAGATAGTGTTTTTATATCCAGTGCAACTTCACAGGAAATTCCAACTGTTTATGTCCCACCAGGAATACTGAATTTCAGGATTTAAATATTGTCCTGGAAACCTTTATTTTTAAATGTAACTATTATAAATGATAATGTATGAAAGTTTTTGTAATTTTTTTTAATTTTTAGTGAACATGAAAAGATTACTTTGTACAAAAAATATCTAAAATTGGAGTCTCCCACACATGCTTGTAAAATAAAGGTAAGTCATTTCTAAATTTTAACTAATTTGAAAACTATAGTTGTTTTTCTATTATATATACACTTACTTTCTGTTGATTTGGTAAAATAATTAGTCCAACTTGGTCTCTAGTTCTAGTTCAGAAATACTTAGTAAACTGTAAAAAAAAAAATTCTTTTCTAAAAAAGTATGCATTTTTCTTTTAAAATTTGAACATTTATTACATTGCAATGTCATGACATATACTGTTGATAATACAGTAGTATTTTACTTTTAAGTCTCCAAAAACTGAAAAAAAAATTTTAACTAAGTTATAGTTTATTTACTTGAATATGTAAGTTTAAAAGATTTGTTATCTTTTTATGAAACTTAGGTGTCAAAAAAAACACATGTAGTTTGGGCCCCTAAATATTTAGAAAGATAAAATGTAATTAGCTTTCAGACAAGGGTAACACAAAGTTAAAGAAAATTGGACTGGTGTCTTCAGCATGAACAATATTGTTAAGGTGAAGTTTACTGATGTCATTGGGTGTAGGGAAAGGGTATAGAGCTGGAAACCATAAGCCCTGGCTGTTAAGTAGGCTCTTTTGCTGACTAGCAGAGTAACCTTGAGCCAGTTTCTTCATTTTGTTTGGACCTACTTTATGGGTAATATTAGAGAAGTGAAGAAAATAAATTATTGAATTGATTATTTTTAACTCTAAAATTCTGTGCTGATTATTACAGAAGAGCAAAGACGTTGTTTAGGTGTATATACTAATAGCTTCTAAAGTTGTTTAAGGTGATTCATTCATCCACACATATTGGAATGCCTATTAATAACAGCTATGGTACTTGACATTTAGGAATTAGCAGTTATGAAATAAATTAGAATGAAGCCATCACATTGCTAATATTATAGTGGGCAAGACAGATAATAAGTTGATTCAGTGTGGAAAATAGGCACCACATTCACTCCTGAGAAAGGTTTGGGGATTAAAAAGCAGAGCAGGAGTAATATGGAAGTTGAAATGTGGGTGTATACATTTCATGAGGTATTTACTCACTTGCTGATAACAGTCACATCTTTGGTGCCACACTGTTTTTAGATCATGGACCTCTATTCACCTGTGTCTTTGTGTGATGTATGGGTTTGTTGTCTCTGGAGATGAATGGGGTTTGTAACTGTGCTTTGGAAGTACCAGAGAGTGCTTTCCACTTTGCTACTTTGCAGTCCTACAGCACACAGGAAACATCTTGATTTAGAAGTATGAACAAAAGGAGGCAGCATAAAGCATTGGAAAAGCTCCTGGGAGAGAAGTCAGAAGAATTAGGCTCAAAGATTGACCTTTATTTACTCTCTTGAAAAATTAGAAAGTCATTGTGAACTCATCTTTTCTATGTGCAAACTATTGAGCTTTAACTCATCTGGACATTCTCTTAGAATTCCTTTAGAATTTATTCTAAATTGTAAAATACTGAACTGTATTAACTATCAGCCAACACTTTGCATGGGCTTCTAGTGAGTCTTATTTAATATCAAGTAATATTATGGCAAGTTTCAGTATGTTAAGTACTCAGATTGGAATAGTTTATCGTTAATTCCTTAAACTACTAAGTAAAACATTATTTACACTTAATTCTTTTAGTTGTAAAAAGACTTTTTAAAGTTGATGTAGTTCCTTTTAGTTTTCTTCTGTGACTAGAGAAACTTTAAAATATACTTGAGGTTAATTTTTAGACTTTTGAATGCTTCAGTCTTACTTCAATATTGACAAGAAATGACCTTAAATAATGGTTGTTTTTATTACTATTAATTTTGCTGGACTTTTGTGTTATAATAGCTGCTCTCCTTTGGTGAAAAGAACTGTGTGTTCATCAGTAAAGTTGTGGTGCACATGAGGCCAGTCTCGGCACATTCTTCAGCAGGCTCTCCTGCTCTAGGATCAAGGATAGACCTGGAGAGGGTCCAAACTATCATGGAGTCCATGGGGTCAAAGTTATCACCTGGAGCTCAGCAGTTGATGAATATGGTGAGATTACAGCAGCAGGTGAGTAGGAGTGGATTTCTTTCCAGAAACCATTACAATTCTTTAAATGATAGCACTTTATTACAACATGTGGTAACATAAATTTTTTCCTTTTAGCTTTTATTATTACTGATTTCCCTGTTATCTTTGCTGACTTATGTAAAAATTGCATCTTGTTAAAAAAAAATGGTTTTTACAGCCTTCACAATTGTCTGTGAATTCTCTAGCTCATTCATTCAGCAAGCATTTACTTAGCCCCTTTTTCATGAAAATGCGCTGTTTTGATTACTTTAGAAAGTTCTAAGGTGAATGAGCCTACAGCCTGTCTTTAAGGATTTCTATAAACTTAATAGGGAACTCAGGGCATGTAAGTGGGGAGTGTTGAGAAAGACTAGGAAAGGCTTATTAAAGGAAGTGGCATTTTATCTGGGTCTTTAAAGAGAAAGGGTGGGATTAAGCAAGTGAATTTGGAGGGACACAACTTAAGAAATGACGCTGTGAAAGTGCTGCACTCAGTATGCCAGCAAATTTGGAAAACTCAGCAGTGGCCACAGAACTGGAAAAGGACAGTTTTCATTCCAATTCCAAAGAAAGGCAATGCCAAAGAATGCTCAAACTACCACACAATTGCACTCATCTCACACACTAGTAAAGTAATGCTTAAAATTCTCCAAGCCAGACTTCAGCAATACGTAAACCGTGAACTTCCAAATGTTCAAGCTAGTTTTAGAAAAGGCAGAGGAACCAGAGATCAAATTGCCAACATCCACTGATCATTGAAAAAGCAAGAGAGTTCCAGCAAAACATCTATTTCTGCTTTATTGACTATGCCAAAGCCTTTGACTGTGTGGATCACAATAAACTGTGGAAAATTCTGAAAGAGATGGGAATACCAGACCACCTGACCTGCCTCTTGAGAAAACTGTATGCAGGTCAGGAAGCAACAGTTAGAACTGGACATGGAACAGCAGACTGGTTCCAAATAGGAAAAGGAGTACGTCAAGGCTGTATATTGTCACCCTGCTTATTTAACTCCTATGCAGAGTACATCATGAGAAACGCTGGGCTGGAAGAAGCACAAGCTGGAATCCAGATTGCCAGGAGAAATATCAATAACCTCAGATATGCAGATGACAGTACCCTTATGGCAGAAAGTGAAGAAGAACTAAAGAGTCTCTTGATGAAAGTGAAAGATGAAAAAGTTGGCATAAAGCTCAGCATTCAGAAAACTAAGATCATGGCATCCGGTCCCATCACTTCATGGGAAATAGATGGGGAAACAGCAGAAACAGTGTCAGACTTCATTTTTCTGGGCTCCAAAATCACTGTGGATGGTGATTGAAGCCATGAAGTTAAAAGACGCTTACTCCTTGGAAGGAAAGTCATGACCAGCCTAGACAGCATATTAAAAAGCAGAGACATTACTTGCCAGCAAAGGTCCATCTAGTCATGGCTATAGTTTTTCCAGTGGTCATGTATGGATGTGAGCATTGGACTGTAAAGAAAGCTGAGTGCAGAAGAATTGATGCTTTTGAATTGTGGTGTTGGAGAAGGCTCTTGAGAGTCCCTTGGACTACAAGGAGATCCAACCACTCCATCCTAAAGGAGATCAGTCCTGGGTGTTCATTGGAAGGTCTGATGTTGAAGCTGAAACTCCAATACTTTGGCCACCTGATGCGAAGAGCTGACTCATTGGAAAAGACCCTGATGCTGGGAAAGATTGAGGGCAGGAGAAGGGAATGACAGGATGAGATGGTTGGATGGCATCATCAATTCGATGGACATGGGTTTAGGTGGACTCCGGGAGTTTGTGATGGACAGGGAGGCGTGGTGTGCTGCGGTTCGTGGGGTTGCAAAGAGTCGGACATGACCGGGTGACTGAACTGAACTGAACTTAAGAGGTAGAGAATAGTTCAGATTAAATCTTCAGTGTTGGAAGGAGTAGGATGTAGCTAGGAACGGAATAGAAGTTCATTTCTGTGGAGTGAAGATGTGATAGGAGAAACTTCAGGTGGACTGGGGCTGGATCATACAGGATTTTGAATGCTGTTATAAAGTTTATGGGTGTCTTTTAGCTTTATGTGACAAAATATGGTCCACTGGAGAAGATAATGGTAAACCACTTCAGTATTCTTGCCTTGAGAACCCCATGAACAGTGTAGAAAGGCAAAAAGATAGGACACTGAAAGATGAACTCCCCAGGTCAGTAGGTGCCCAATATACTACTGGATATCAGTGGAGAAATAACTCCAGACAGAATGAAGAGATGGAGCCAAAGCAAAAACTACACCCACTTGTGGATGTGACTGGTGATAGAAGCAAGGTCTGATGCTGTAAAGAGCAATATTGCATAGGAACCTGGAATGTTAGGTCCATGAATCAAGGCAAACTAGAAGTGGTCAAATAGGAGATGGCAAGAGTGAATGTCGACATTTTAGTAATCAGCAAACTAAAATGGACTCGAACAGGTGATCTTAACTCAGATGACCATTAGATCTACTACTGTGGGCAAGAATCCCTTAGAAGGAATGGAGTAGCCCTCATAGTCAACAAGAGATTCCAAAATGCAGTACTTGGATGCAATCTCAAAAACAACAGAATGATCTCTGTTCATTTCCAAGGCAAACCATTAAATATCATGGAAATCCAAGTCTATGCCCTGAAGTAACACTGAAGAAGCTGAAGTTGAGTGGTTCTATGAAGACCTACAAGACCTTTTGGAACTGTCACCCAAAAAAGATGTCCTTTTCATTATAGGGGACTGGAATGCAAAGGTAGGAACTCAAGAAACACCTGGAGTAACAGGCACATTTGGCCTTGGAGTACAGGATAGAACAGGGCAAAGGCTAATCAGGTTTTGCCAAGAGAATGCACTGGTCATAGCAAACACCCTCTTCCAACAACACCAGGGAAGGCTGTACACATGGACATCACCAGATGGTCAACACTGAAATCAGATTGATTATATTCTTTGCAGTCAAAGATGGAGAAGCTCTATACAGTCAGCAAAACAGGACCGGGAGTTGACTGTGGCTCAGATAAACTCCTTATTGCCAAATTCAGACTTAAAGTGAAGGAAGTAGGGAAAACCACTAGACCATTCAGGTATGACCTAAATCAAATCCCTTAAGATTATACAGTGGAAGTGGGAAATAGATTTAAGGGACTAGATCTGATAGAGTGCCTGATGAACTATGGACGGAAGTTCGTGACATTGTACAGGAGACAGGGATCAAGGCCATCCCTAAGAAAAAGAAATGCAAAAACCAAAATGGCTGTCTGAGGAGGCCTTACAAATAGCTGTGGAAAGAAAGAGAAATGAAAAGCAAAGGAGAAAAGGAAAGATATACCCATTTGAATGCAGAGTTCCAATGAATAGCAAGGAGAGGTAAGAAAGCCTTCCTCAGTGATCAGTGCAAAGAAATAGAGGAAAACAACAGAATGAGAAAGACGAGATCTCTTCAAGAAAATTAGTGATACCAAGGGAACATTTCATGCAAAGTCGGGCTTAATAAAGGACAGAAATGGTATGAACCTAACAGAAGCAGAAGATATTAAGAAGAGGAAGCAAGAATACACAGAAGAACCGTACAAAAAAGATCTTCATGACCCAGATAATCACAATGGTGTGGTTACTCACTTAGAGCTAGACATCCTGGAATGTGAAGTCAGGTGGGCCTTAGGAAGCGTCACTATGAACAAAGCTGGTGGAGGTGATGGAATTCCAGCTGAGCTATTTCAAATCCTAAAAGATGCTGTGAAAGTGCTGCACTCAATATGCCAGCAAATTTGGAAAATTCAGCAGTGGCCACAGGACTGGAAAAGGACAGTTTTCATTCCAATTCCAAAGAAAGGCAATGCCAAAGAATGCTCAGATTACCACACAATTGCACTTATCTCACACGCTAGTAAAGTAATGCTCAAAATTCTCCAAGCCAGGCTTCAACAATACATGAACCGTGAATTTCCAGATGTTCAAGCTAGTTTTAGAAAAGGCAGAGGAACCAGAGATCAGATTGCCAACATCTGCTGGATCATCGGAAAAGCAAGAGAGTTCCAGAAAAACATGTATTTCTGCTTTATTAACTGTGCCACAAAGCCTTTGTCTGTGAGGATCACAATAAACTGTGGAAAATTCTGAAAGAGATGGGAATACCAGACCACCTGATCTGCCTCTTGAGAAATCTGTATGTAGGCCAGGAAGCAACAGTTAGAACTGGACATGGAACAGCAGACTGGTTCCAAATAGGACAAGGAGTATATCAAGGCTGTATATTGTCACCCTGCTTATTTAACTTATAGGCAGAGTACATTATGAGAAACTCTGGGCTGGAAGAAGCACAAGCTGGAATCAAGATTGATGGGAGAAATATCAGTCACCTCAGATATGCAGATGACACCACCCTTAATGGCAGAAAGTGAAGAGAAACTAAGAAGCCTCTTGATGAAAGTGAAAGAGGAGAGTGAAAAAGTTGGCATAAAGCCCAGCATTCAGAAAACTAAGATCATGGCATCCGGTCCCATCACTTCATGTCAAATAGATGGGGAAACAGTGGCTGACTTTTTTTGGGGGGGATCCAAAATCACTGCAGATGGTAATTGCAGCCATGAAATTAAAAGACACTTACTCCTAAGTTATGACCAACTTAGACAGCATATTAGAAAGCAGAGACATTACTTTGTCAACAAAGGTCCATCTAGTTAAGGCTATGGTTTTTCCAGTAGTCATGTATGGTTGTGAGAGTTGGATTGTAAAGAAAGCTTAGCACTGAAGAATTGATGCTTTTGAACTGTAGTGTTGGAGAAGACTTTTGAGAATCCCTTGGACTGCAAGGAGATCCAACCAGTCCATCCTAAAGGAGATCAGTCCTGAGTGTCCGTTGAAAGGACTGATTTTAAAGCTGTAACTTGGCCACCTGATGCAAAGAGCTGATTCATTTGAAAGATTGAAGGCAGGAGGAGAAAGGGACAACAGAGGAGGAGATGGTTGGATGGCATCACCGACTTGATGGACATGAGTTTGGGTAAACTCCAGGAGTTGGTGATGGACAGGGAGGCCTGGCGTACTGTGGTCCATGGGGTCACAAAGAGTCAGACATGACTGAGCGACTGAACTGAACCGATTACTTGTAAAGATGGGTCAGCAGGAAGTGAGGCTGCAAGATGGAAAACATGTGTTATTTCTCATCCAGATGAGGGTTAAAGAGGACCTAAACTTGAAGGAGGAACCTGGTGCTGGGCTGTGAGATGCTACAACAGTGGTACTAGTGGCATTTGACCATAACTTACTATGAGTTTTGTGGGAGAAAAACAATCCAATGAGAAACTAAAGTTTTGTAGATGCTGATACTAATAATACACATGGAACACAACGGAGGGAGTGACTTGGTGAAAAAGAAGTTTAATTTGGAAGTATTGAATTTTAGATGTGAAACTTTAAAACAAGAAATACAAAATAAAAAGTCATATAACTTCTTTGAGATTTGCCATCATTAATTTAGTAGGAGTATCATTGGAGGGACGGGCAGACATAGGAGAACAGGAGAGCTGATGATGATCTTGGAAACCTCAGAAAGGAGAGCTTCCAAAAGCACAGAGTCTGTCCTCTTTGTACTCTGGTACAGTGATCTCACCTGCATAGCTCAGGCGGTTCCTAACGGGTGCTCCTGGTCCAAGTGCTCCCTCTCCACAGAGCAGCCAGAATGATCTCAGAGGGTCCATCAGACTCGACTTCCCCCGTGTAATGTCCCGAACTGCTTCCCCTCACACCAGAATCAATCCGGATTCCTCACCCTGTCATCTCAGATCTGGGCCGTCGTTCCCACCTCAACACCATCTCCTGTCGCATCTCCTTAGTTGCTCATCTCTAGACATTCTGAGGTGTGTGTTCCCCAAATATCCACCTGGGCTCCCACCTCAGGACCTCTGCACTCTTAACTGTTGTCTTTGGCCAGAATCCCCTCTTCTTGATGTTAGCAAGTCTGCTCTTTTCTTGTTCTTTGAGACTTATCTTAAATGTTCCCTCTTGAGTGAGACCATCCCTAACCACCCTATTTAAAATAATTAGCCTCTTTCTCCTAATCTCTATCATATTTTCATCAGAGCTTTCTTGACTATTTTTGTTTTTGTTCATGTGTTGTTCTGTTTATCTCACTAATACATAAGCTTCATGCAAATAGGACCTGGCTGTCTTGTTTATGGCTCCAGGTAAGTACATAATATATATGCCCTTCAGATTATCAACAGGTACTCCTTGGAGATCTTCAGGGAGTTGGTTTGAATAGTGATAAGCTGAAAGTGTTTAGTCGCTGAGTCACGTCCACCTCTTTGCGATCTCATGGACTATAGCCCACCAGGCTCCTCTGTCCATGGAATTCTCCAGGCAAGAAAACTGGAGTGGGTTGCCAATCCCTTCTCCGGGGATCTTCCCCACCTAGGGATCGAACCCAGGTCTCCCACATTGTGTGCAGATTCTTTTCTGGGTGAGCTACCAGGTTAGGAGATAAGATGTAAAGGGTCATGTGAGCTCTGTAACTATCTGTTGAATATAAAGTAGGAATACTTCATGATCAGAACCGATGGATGGAGTGTAATGACACACACTCTTTAGAACCTTTATGTGTGAGTTGGGGCAGGACCTGTGCTGGAGGGGAAAGGGAGGACATGGGAACAGCTTACTGGCCTCTCTGTTTGATCTGTGCCTTGCCGAAAGTTTTATTAAAGTGATCTCTTATTTTCTTGTGTTTGAAGTTCAAATGTGCTGACGTTGCTTTTGCTTCAGCAGTTTAGAATAATTGAATAGGAATTCTGTCTCTAAATTCCTGGTATATGGTTGTCATTTAAAGTTATCTGAGTGAAAGCTGTAAGAAAATATATTTTCTCAAAGAAAATATATTCAGTTATTCAGGATTTTATTGTTTACCTTTTTCATCTTAAAAAACTAAAAAAGATCTTTTTTCTTGCTTTTTCAAGGTGATACTTATACACATTCTTTATAATTAAAAAAATTAAGGACAATCTTCAGAAATACCACAAGATGTTCAGAGATAAACAGTTTTTCAGACATCTTGGAGTATATATATACATATGAAATTATATATACAAGTATATGAACACAATTCTACATAAATGCTTTCATGTTTTTTAGCCTGCTCTGTTTTTTTCCCACACATTAATAACATATGTAATGTGCCCTAAAGAATCATTTTATACATATTTTTCTGCCTCCTTTAAAAAAGGTTTGATGCCCTTGCAAGGCAACATATGACAGCTCAAGAAAATGAAGGATTGAATAAAGGCAAACTAAAGAAGTAGAATAGCCACCAGCATCTGAAGTTGGTTCGTTTACTGCAGTCATATTGACTAACCTGTGAAATTTCTCAACATTTCATACAAAGTAAAAAATAATCATCTTAAGAGCTTTTCTCTAGAAGAATATGACTAATTTTTATAAAGAGTAAATTTCTTATAATTATGACATATCAGAAAAGAAAAACTCATATAGCAAACACCTTAATTGCATTTATATTTTTCTAATTAAAACTTATGGCAAATTAATTGTCATGTACAATTTTGATATTGATTCCACTGTTTATGTAATTGCGATTTTGTAGAATTTTGAATTTTCAATTTTCTGTCATAAAGTTTTCTTGCAGTATCAAAATTATGTAACCACCAAAAATAATTGATTTTTGCCTTTACTCAAGTTTTGCCTTGAGTAAAGCTTCTTTTCACCAAAGGAGAGTGGTCTAATTTTTAAATTTTAAAAATATAATTGTATACAATCATCATTTTTTAGGAATAATTTAATATTTACTTAAAACTTGCATTCAATAGAAGAAGATAAGATTCCGTTATAAAGGGAGTTTCTCCAGTGGGCAATTCAGTAGCAGTTGCGTGGGGGCTCTGTTGCTCCCACTCACCAGCTTCCCTGGCTCTCATGATTCACATGTCCTGTGGTATTTTCCCTAAAGTATTTATCACCGTCTCCATCCACAGGGTTTCTTTCTTTGTTTATCTCTCCCTGCTCCCTAGATTGTACTGTCCACAGTTTCTTGTTCACTGGCTTATTTCTGGGGCCTGAAACAGGACCTGACACAGAATAGATTTCTGGAAAATATTTGTTGAATGAATAAGTTTGGGGCTCACTTAATCCAAGAATCATTCTGGACTGCCTTCACCTAATCTTGGATAATACTTTTCTCAGTCTCTCTTACAAGGTATTGAACAATAATATCATTGGGAGATGATATTCCCTATGTATCTCTAGTAGAAATCTGGGTTTAGAATTTAAGATGGCATCATATAATGTAACAGTTAGCTAGGCTGGAGGTAGTTTTGCTTTTCTCTTGTGGAAAAATTGAAGAACATAGCAAGAGCATGCCTCTCTATAGATGACAGTGTAACCTCCTGTCAGATGTGAGCCAGTCTTCTCAGGAAGGAATATAGCCTAGCTGGTCGAGTTGAGGCCACAAAACATAATCATTACCCTATAAACTATTATGGCAGACAAGGCCCAAAGGTAGCTAGCTCATTTTAATCATTGCAAATATCACAGAAATATTCAAACTTTAAGCATATGAGTAGAGCATCAAACTTTAAGCACGTAACTATCTAGCTATCTTCCAGTAAAAACAAATTGTATTTCTTTAGGGTGGCCTACATTTCTGACAGTGGGCAGATAATTTTTAATTCTAGGAAAATTTATCAATTATTGTGACTCATTCGAAAATACCATAAATTAAGGAGGCCTTTGTAGTGGAAACACTAAAATATGCCTGTGCAGTTTTACTAAGTATGCTTGTATTTATTTGCAGATTTTCCTTAGCAGAACTACACTGGAATTTGGAATGACTAGAAGTCCTGACTGGAGTTGGGTGTCCGGGGCTCCAGTCCTAGTTCTGCCACAGACAGCTGTGTTACCTTGGCCGGGTTAGCTTTAGTCTTTTCTCCTCAACTCAGGACTGGGGCCGTGGCTGCAGTCCACTCCATGTGGATGCTCCGAGGCTCGGAGGGAAGAAGGCGCCTTGCCTCCAGAGTTAGCTGTCATTGTCATTAATGCTCCTGCTGTCTCCTTGCCTGCCTCCCTTAGAGTTGTGTTGCCCTCGGAGAGCAGCTCCAGTCGATCCTGGGAAACGCAGGACACAGGCACGTGCCGGGACTGCAGTCCTCGTCTGCTCCGGGAGCCTTCGGCAAGTCATCCTCCACACCTTTTCCTTTCAGAACTGGGCTGACATCTGGAAACGCGACTGAAGACTCGGAAGCTAACACTGAGAAAAGTCTGCAGCCAGCTGGTGGAGGAAGTCTGAGCAGCCTCCAAGAGTGTAAAGTTGTGCCACAAAGCCGTTTGCTTCTTGAGAATGACCTGAAGAATGCAGTATCTGCTTTCTTATCAAAGAAAGCAGGTGACAGCTCACACATACCTAACTCGGAGTTGCTGCCTTTTCTCCAGAATTTGTGTGGTCAGGTGAGCCATTCTCAGGTGGGACCCGGCATCAAGTGGCAGGAGAGCATCCCGAAGCCCGGCGGAGGCACTGGGGGTGTCACGTAAGTGTTTAGACCCGTGTGGTCGGGTGGGGTGTGGGGGAGGGTGAGGAGGCAGGTGGAGGAAAGGGGTTTGTTTCAGTAACTTCTTCCTGAAATTGTTTCCGGAGAGAACCGTAGGAGCTTTGACATTTCACCACTGACACATGTAGAGGAAAGAAATATTCTCCGGAGTAGAACGCGTTGCTTTGAGAGAAGTGTGTAAACTGGAGGTGCCGAGCACTTCTCAGGCGTTTGGTGGGAGGAGCACAAGTAGCAGACAAGGGTCGGAGCGGGGAGTTACCTGTGTGAAAGGAGCAGAGCTGCAGTGGCCGTGATGTGTGCGCTTTGCCCGACTGTATGAAGTGAGCCATTGCAGCGGGTTTTCCTTGTAGATCTGTGTGACCTGGGCTGATTTTGGAGTCATCCAGACAGTTTTCAGCTCGTAATTATTTATAGTATACAGGCGCTTATCCTCTGGTTTCATAATTCCAATTTTTTCCACTCCTGCTTTGATTAAGTGGTAGCTATTTATTTTTAGTATGTTCCCCATCTTTTATATAAATGGACTGTGTCCAAATATTGCACTGGAATTCAGGACTCTAATCATAGTCCTGGCTTAACTATTTGACTTAACTATTTCAATCTTTGGATTTATACTTTTATTACATATAAAATGAGGTAGTTCTGTTGGTTGAAATTTTTTTAATATTCCAATAGCATTCAGTTTGAGGAGTTTAAAGTTATTGAAACAAAGAAGTGGTTCTTACTTGAGAAGGACAAGGAAAGATAATATTAGTCTTTAATACTTTAAATTACTTTAATATTAGGTTGGTGCAAACTTAGTTGTGGTTTTTGGACCGTGAATTTTAAGTCATTATAACTAAGCTCAAGCACATCTTTATTAGTCATAGTAGGAACCTTTACAATCAACACATTTTTACCAATGAGAAATAAGTTTGTTTATTCTTGTAGTGTAAAAATCTGTGCCTCTGGATCCAACAAACTCTTGGAAAGCATTTTCTGCCTCTTGCTGGTTGTGGAAGCATTTTCCCTGCAAAAAGCCGTTGAGATGCTTGAAGTGGTAGTTGGTTGGCGAGACGTCAAGTGAATATGGCGGATGAGGCAAAACTTTGTAGCCCAGTTCATTCAGCTTTTGAAGCATTGGTTGTGTGACGTGCAGTCAGGTATTGTTGAGGAGAATTGGGCCCTTTCTGTCGACCCATACTGGCTGCAGGCATTGCAGTTTTCAGAGCATCTCATTGATTTGCCGAGCATACTTCTCAGATGCAATGGTTTTGCTAGGATTCAGAAAGCTGTAGTGGATCAGATGGGCAGCAGACCACCAAAGAATGACCATGACCTTTTTTTGGTGCAAGTTTGGCATTGGGAAGTGATTTGGTGCTTCTTATCAATCCAGCCACTCACTGAGCTGATCATCACTGGTTGTCTTATAAAATCCACTTTTCATCACGCGTCACAATCCAGTCGGGAAATGGTGTGTTATCATTGCATACAATAAGAGAAGATGATACTTCAAAATGATATTTTTTTTTTGTTTTTGGTCAGCTCACAAGGCAAGCACTTATCCAGCTTTCTCACCTTTCCAGTTTGCTTCAAATGACCATAGAATGGTTGACGTTGAGTTTTTAGGCAACTCTCTTGTGTAGTTGTATGAGGATCAGCTTCAATGATTGCTCTCAGTTGGTCATTGTCAACTTCCGTGGCCAGCCACTGTGCTCTCTCAAGGCTCTTGTTTCCTTTGCAAAACTTCTTGAATCCCCAGTGCACCATATATTCCTTAGGAGTTCCTGGACCAACTGTGTTGTTGATGTTGGGAGTTGTCTCTACTGTTTTATTTCCCATTTTGAACTTGGATAAAAAAATCACTCAAAGGACTTCCTTGGTGGCTCAGATGGTAAAGAAAATGGCTTGAATTTGCTTTTTGTCTAACATCATTTCCCTAACCTAATATAAATATAAAATACACAACAAGTAATAAGTCATTAGCAAAAAAATCATAGAGCGAGAATGCATATAAAATGATGTATAACATAACCACATTTATTTAAGAATATATTCCATTATCAAACAGCAGGTTTCAACAACGCAAAACTGCAATTACTTGTGCACCAACCTAATACTTTAAAAGTATTAAATTACTTTAATACTTTGACTTCCTTACTTCCTAATTATCAGAGAATTTCTTTCATCATGCATAGGTGTCTGTCAAATATTTTTCCTATGGCCATTTATATGATCATGAATTTTCTTCTGTAGTCTGATCTTATCATTAATTACATTAATTTCAAAACCTGAACCCACCTTGCATACCTAGAGTAAATCTTAGAGCCCACTTAGTGTGGGCTGTAATTTTTATACAATGTTGGATCTGATTTGCTAATATTTTTTTGAGTATTCTTGCATCTAATTTATTAGAGGTACTGGTCTGTATTTTTCTTGTCCCATCTTTGGTTTTTCCTATGAAGATAATACTGGCCTCATAAAATGAGTTCCACACCTTAAAAGAGATTGTGTACAACTGGCATTATCTCTTCCTAAGATGTTTGGTATTGATAGGAGTCCTCAGTGCAACCAGCTGGGCCTGGATATTTCTTTCTCAGAGACTGTTAAATTACAAATTCAGTTTTTAACTTAGTAAAGTTGTCAGTTCTCCCCGTTGATATAAAGGTTTAATGCAATACATACTAAAATTTCACCACAATATTTTGTAGACATAGGATTATTTTAAAAATTATATGAAAAGCAAGAGGCAGAATAGCTAAGACAACCTTGAGAAAGAAGAATGAGGTGGGAGGAGTCCCTCTTGCAGTGTCGAGTCTTCTGCAGCGAGAGTATCAGGACAGGGCAGTGAGGGCGGAGGGGCAGCCCAGGGCTCAGGGGAGGCCAGTAGAGGGTTCAGAGATGGACCCACACAGGTGTGCTCCACTGAGTTTTGACAGAGGCGCAACAGCAGTGCAATAAAGGAAGAAGAGTCTTTCTAACTCAGGGTGCTGGAGCAGATGGATAGCCAAAGAGCAAGAAGTGAACTATGACCCAAGTCTTGTACCTTGTATAAAACTTCACTCAAAATGGATCAGGGATGTAAGTTTAAAACATGAAGCCATGGAAGTTTTCTAATAATCCATAGGAGACTGTCTTTGGGAACCTAGACAAGATTTCTTAGATATGACACAAAAAGCAGGATAATTGAAAATATATTGGACCACATGAAAATGCAAAATTGTGTTCTGTGAAAGACTCTGGGGGCTTCCCAGTGGCTCATAGTGAAAAATCCACCTGCCAGTACAGGAGACAGGCTTTGACCCCTGATCTGATAAGATCCCACGGGCTGTGGGGCAGCTGAGCCTGGGCACCACAACTGTTGAGTCTGTGCCCTGGAGCTCGGGAGCCACGACTCCTGAAGCCCGTGTGCCCTAGAGCACCACAACTGGAGAGTAGCTCCCACTCGGCACAGCTAGAGAGAAGAGCCCATGCAGCACAACCGAAAATAAATAAATAAAATTCTTTTTTAAAAAAGAATAAAAAAAAAGACTCTGTGAAGTGGAATAAAATACAAATTCCAAACTGGGAAAAAAAATTTGCAAATCACAAGTCCAATAAATGACTTAACATCTAAAATATAGAAAGGGCTCTTAAAACTCAACATTAAAAAATCCAGCTAGCACATGGGCAAAAGACATAGACATTTTACCAGAGAGGATATACAAAAGCAAATAAGCACATGGAAAGATATGCTATTGACCTCGTGGCTATTAAGGAAAAGTGCATTAAAACCACATGATACCACTCCACAGTTATTCAAATGGCTGAAATAAAAAGTGTAAAATGGTGGCAATACCAAATTCCAATAAGGGTGCAGAGAAACAGGATCTCTCATACATTACTCATGGAGATGTAAAGTGCTACAGCCACTCTAAAAAATACTCCAGCAGTTTTTAATAACTAAGCGTATATAGGTACTGTGTGCCTCAGCAGTCATGCTCCTGGGCATTCATCCCAGAGAAAAGAAAACATCTGTCCACATAAAAGCCTGTACACAGTTGTTCATAGAAGCTTCTAGTAATTTAGTAAGGTTGTGTGGATTAAAAAAAAAAAAAAAAACACCACAACTATTTCAATTGTACCATTGCTTAGGGGAGTACTTGAAAGACCTTAAAAAAATTCACAAGATGACTTTAGATTTGGAGCTCAAAATAAAAAAAGACCCTTTCTATCTAATGGTCTATTCTTTGAGGGTAGAATTTCCATCATCTTCATTTTTATACTCTCACTTCACTTTGTGCTTAAATGTTTAATGAATTAAAGAAATAAGGCGACTTTGGGCATTCAGGGTTGTGGTTGCCTGTTGGATATGTGTTAGAAATATGTTGCAAGGAGACAGAATATAGTTGTGGAGACAAATTACAAAGTTATGGCTACTTTATTGTACTACAGTTTAGTTGTTTTTGTTATAATATTAAGGAAAATTGTTACATTATTATTTAAATTTACTTCTAGACTGGAAGAGCAATCCATTTGTTGCTACTTGGAAAAGATTCTTTCTAAAAATATGGAACTGATGGAAAAGAAACTTACAGACTACATTGATCAGCGAATATATAAACTCCAGGAGCACATAGATAATAAGCTTGCTTTGTTAATGGACTTGCTGCAACGTCCCAACTCCCCACCCTCTGGGTTGCCTCTGAGACATTATGACTCTGGAGAAGGACTTTCAAATGGAGAAAGATAAAGGCTCAACATGTACAAAGTACTACAGATATTTATTACATATTTATTATAAAACCAAACCACCAAGAGTTACAGCAACTATTTAATGTCATTTGAGGACCGCTGTTTACTTGCATAAAGTGACCTCAGTGTTCATTTTACTGTACTGTTACTATAAATCTGGTACTGTACACTAAGATTTAATGTGGTAGGGTCATAAATTATTCCTGTTTCCCATATTTTTCACTCTTGTAAGAAATTAACATACACTTCTGGGTTGCTTAAATGTTCAGATTTTTTTAAGGATTTCTGAAGCATTTCATTAGTTTGTACTATATATGTGTTTGGTTGGGGTACTCTTATGTTTAGGGGTATACAAAGTGCTTAGAATATGTAAGTGATATTTTTTCTTTTTCTAATTAATTGTTCTTATAAAACTGGGTACTTGAGACTTGCAACCTTTAATTTCAAATCACCATGTTACCTTTTTTATTGTTTATTTCCGATAAAAAATTAAATGTGATGTTTGGCATGTGTAAAACTGGTTTAACATTGGAGCTGTTAATTTTGTGTTCTGTCACATTGTAGCTGTGGATAGAAAAGTAATAATTAGAACTGACCTATTCTCTGTTAGGCTTATTACTTTCAGAATCAGTGTTTGGTGTAAAATGAGAGCAGTCATCTTATTTTATCTCAGTCAACCCAGGAAGCAGAAGGAACTCTCTCCTTTTCCAAACTGATACAGGTTCTTCTTTCCAGAGCCCTTTCTGTTTAATGTGTGAAATTCCGAGATTTTGGATTGAAGCATTAAGGCACAAAAATCAAGGAGATTACAGTTCTCTCTGGCAGACTTAAGTTTCAGAAACTATACCTATCATATATGTGTTGTAAGGTGATATATTTGCCTCTAAAAAATAAATGAATTCACTCTGGAAATTAAATGTTTTCACCTAATATTTTAGATGAAAAAGGATGGTTTACACTCATTTAGTATTTTGATGAATTTAGTTCTTTGAAGTGAGAACTAATATAAAGTTTATTCATTTATAAATCACTCTGAAGTTAGGGACATGAGGTTGGTGTTCAGTCGCTTTTGTGTCTGACTCTTTGCCACCCCATGAATTGTAGCATGCCAGGCTTCCCTGTCCTTCACCATCTCCCGGAGTAGGACTTGTACCATATATAACTTTGATCAGTCTTTTCCTAATTTATTAACAGCATATGTCACCATTAGATGGCATTTCTTTTAGCACATAGGAGAAATGTGTCTCACTTAAAGTCGAACCCTTTCATTAATAGTTTACACAGCTTCTGATAATAGTGGTCTATATTTTGAGTCACAAATTGCTTAATATAATTAGAACACATATGCTGTGTTTTATAAAATAATTAAATACAATATTTATGATTATAGTATTGTAAATAATTCAGATGAGCTTTAATTCCTGATCTTCCATTTTAAAATTGTTTTCATGTTAATAAAGACCTAAATTACATTTTAAATGTATTAGAGATTCATGTGTGTGCTCAGTCGCTCAGTTGTGTCTGACTCTTTGTGGTCCCATGGACTGTAGCCCACCAGGCTCCTTAGCTCATGGAATTTTCCAGGCAAGAATACTGGAGTGGGGTGCCATTTCCTACTCCAGGGGGATCTTCCCAAACCAGGGATCATAGGTATTGATTTTCTTATATTTATAAATTTCTATACATGTGTATACGTAATTGCTTTGTTAAAATCATTATTGCCTAAGGAAATACTGCTTGAATTTGCTCAAATGGGAGGAGCAGACCCACAGTATGCACAAAATCTCTATTAAAGTATTTTTTTCTTGTAACTTTCCTCCACTTGTAGGCGGCACAGCTGGTAAGTCCAGTCTGGGCAATGAGGGTTGGCAGATGCACCCGTGTCAGGGTAGCCACAGCAGTTAGAGGTGGCTGCACAGGATGTGTGGGTGATCAGAAATGAGATCAGGAGACAGGTTATGTATTTTAATTTCCACACTGCCTCCCCCTTGAGGATTGTTTCATCTCTGTCTTTCCCATGGTGACATATGAAGGTTTCCATGCCTCTGTCACCACTGGATTTTCAGCTGTTTAGGGGCAGGACAGAGAGTATACTTGTGTGCTGCTGCCACGTGACTTGTCATGAAGAGTCGAGCAGCTCACTGGAGGCGCTTCTTCAGCCCCAGCGTAGCTTTCCAGGTGCACCGGCCACCACCACCATGTGACCTGCTGTTCCAGCCTGTCGTTTCTTCCCAAGCCCCCTCGGGCTGTTGGCTCCAGTCCTCCTGCATACGACCCCCCACCTCGCCCTGCCCTCATCACAGTCATCACACTACTGTCCAAAGCTCAGCTCATGTGCAGCCTTCATGAAGCTGCCCTTGTTCTCTCCACTCCTCAGCAAATGGCTGGACAAGTGAAACCTAAAGAGACAACACTGAAGGCTCTTCGGGGGACGTAAGTGAAAAAGTTGGCTAAAATCATGGTCCCATCACTTCATGGCAAATGAATGGGGAGACAGTGGAAACAGTAGCAGAGTTTCTATTTTGGGGCTCCAAAATGACTGCAGATGGTGATTGCTGCTGCTAAGGCGCTTTGGTTGTGTCTGACTGTGCAACCCCATAGATGGCAGCCCACCAGGCTCCCCTGTCCCTGGGATTCTCCAGGCAACCACTGGAGTGGGTTGCCATTTCCTTCTTCAGATGGTGACTGCAGCCATGAAATTAAAAGACACTTGCTCCTTGGAAGAAAAGCTATGACCAACATAGACAGCATATTCAAAAGCAGAGACGTTACTTTGCCAACAAAGGTCCATCTAGTCAAGGGTATGGTTTTTCCTGTGGTCGTGTATGGATGTGAGAGTTGGACTATAAAGAAAGCTGAGCGCAGAAGAATTGATGCCTTTGAACTGTGGTGTTGGACAAGACTCTTGAGAGTCCCTTGGACTGCAAGGAGATCCAACTGGTCCATCCTAAAGGAGATCAGTCCTGGGTGTTCATTGGAAGGACTGATGTTGAAGCTGAAACTTCAGTACTTTGGCCACCTGATGCAAAGAGCTGATTCATTGGAAAAGACTCTGATACTGGGAAAGATTGAAGGCGAGAGGAGAAGGGGATGACAGGATGAGATGGTTGGATGGCCTCACTGACTCAATGGGCATGAGTTTGGGTAAATTCCGGGAGTTGGTGATGGACAGGGATTCTTGGCATGCAGCAGTCCATGGGGTTGCAAAGAGTTGGACACGACTGAGGGACTGAACTGAACTGAAAGCAGTTTAGATTGACTCAAGCATCTGACGCATGTCAGACAGAGGAAAGACTTGAAAAAGTAGTAGCCTGGGTCTGGCTCAGGAAAACCATCACTGCTTAACTGTGGATCTTTAGCACCAAGTTATCAGCAGCTCACGCAGAAGGGTGACCTGATTACCCTGGGCCTTGGGAAGAAGACCAGAGTAGAGCTTTGCTCCTGGCCTCACTTGCAGGATTTCCTGGCATCCTGCTTTGGGTGCTGGAATGGATCAGTAGAACCATGTAACATCTAACTTACTGATGAGTTAACTTAGTTGCTCCTCACTTGCTCTGCAGGCTTTGCCAGAATCACCTGGGGAACTTGTTAAACGTGCAGATTCTACAGCCCAGCTCATTCTAAGGAATCACACCAGAGGGAGAAGCAGTCCCTGAACAGGGGCCTTTCAAAAGATCTCAGGGTTCTTATTAGTTGACGGGCTGAGCTGGTACACCTCGACTCAGAGCCACCCTATCAGCCTCACCTGGGAACTGATTGAAAGGCAAATTCATCAGCTTTACCCCCAAACCACTGCAGATGGTGATTGCAACCATGAAATTAAAAGACGCTTACTCCTTGGAAGGAAAGTTATGACTAACCTAGACAGCATATTAAAAAGCAGAGACATTACTTTGCTAACAAAGGTCCGTCTAGACAAAGCTATGGTTTTTCCAGTGGTCATGTATGGATGTGAGAGTTGGACTATAAAGAAAGCTAAATGCAGAAGAATTGATGCTTTTGAACTGTGGTGTTGGAGAAGACTCTTGAGAGTTCCTTGGACTACAAGGAGATCCAACCAGTCCATCCTAAAGGAAATCAGTCCTGGGTATTCATTGGAAGGACTGATGTTGAAGCTGAAACTTCAATACTTTGGCCACCTGATGGGAAGAGCTGACTCATTTGAAAAGACCCTGATGCTGGGAAAGACTGAGGGCAGGAGGAGAAGGGGAGGACAGAGGATGAGATGGTTGGATGGCGTCACCGACTCAATGGACATGGGTTTGGGTGGACTCTGGGAGTTGGTGATGGATAGGGAGGCCTGGCATGCTGCGGTTCATGGGGTCGCAAAGAGTCGGACATCACTGAGCAACTGAACTGAACTGACTGACCCCCAAACCAATGAATCAGAATCTCCATGGTGGGGCCCAGCAGAGAACCCTTGGTGAAGGTTGCATCACTCAATGTTTTCACTTCCACACTTTGCATCCAGATCAAGCTCAGGAACAGAACATATCTGTGGCTGGATCAGAGCCACCATCAAAAGGGTCAGCTGCTCATGCTGGCATCACAGTTTACAAAGTACTGACACGTCTGTCTGCAAACAGCCGCCACCACCGTCAGACCACACAGCGTTCATTATCTTTTCGCGTTTGAGAAGAAACAACAGGCTCAGAGAGCTGAACTACTTTGCCAACCATTCTATCAAGTAAATAGAGGGAAAGGGCCTTGAATCCAGGACTCCTTTCCTTCTCCTGTTTCCATACTCTGTTCCCTGTGCCCATGGAGGTCAGACTCCCCAAGACTCCAAAGGTACAAAACCCATGGGTTGATTCCCCCCCTTGATTTAATGCGAGTCCTGCTGACAAGCCCAGGCTAGCCCAGCACCAGTGGCAAGGTGGACAGTGCAGGAGCCCCCCGACAGTTGTAGCTAGGAGACATGATCTGGTCATGAGTCTCACTCCCTGGTCATGAGACTCCTCCCCTCCACTGATGGGTGTGCCAGTTGGCAACCCAGAGGGGATCCCACCATAACAGTCAGCTTTGCCCCCATGGGCCAGAGATTCCTTCTCCCATCTAGATGCACCCATGACTCTAGCTGGGGAATCTCTGGTTCATTCAAGTGGCACTGCTGGGGGCTTGGGAGTCCCAGTATCACCAGAAAAATGGATCAAAATAGCACCTGGAGGGATTTCCGTGACAGTCCGCTGGCTAAAGCGCCACACTTCCACTGCAGAGGGCATGGATTCGAGGCCTGGTCGGAGGAGCTAAGATCCCTCATGCCTAAAAACAAGTGAAAAAAACCAAAATGGTACCTGGAGTCTCCTCTTTTAACGTTACTAAACTGGCTGGGAACGAGTACATTTATACAGTTGATAGAACAGGTATCCTATTCAGCTTTCATTTGTAATGCTTTTAACGTATAAAGTATGAAAGTCTTCCAATGTCAATGAACATATGCTTGAATCCTAGTAAATGCCTCCGTATCATTTTATTGTGTGGTAACAATAAAACTTTATTTTATTGTAACATAAAGTCTTCTATAATCAAAACTCTTAAGAGTAAGAGTGTTTTTTACCTCCCCATGTTTCTGTTTATTTTTTTCACTGAAATTTTAAACCTGCTTTTGATTACCAATCAAATCCTGAAAATTACTGTAAGGGAAATAAGACCTGAAAAGGTAAAGACATAGAATTAAGTGATTCAAGATGATCTTTCTGTCTCATGGGGCTAAAATATACCTACAGGTGGAACAGAATTCAGAACCCATGGAAGAGCTGGTGTCCAGAGGTGATGTCACACAGGCTGTGGTCCAATGGGGTTCATAGCCCTGGAGCTGGAGAGAGACTGGGCTTCTAGAGTGAGCTCTTCAACCTTGTGTCTTAATTCCTCTCACAGGGATGATTCGATCCCTCTTTCTCAAATTATAGGTTTGATAAAATATCCTGTTCCCTGCAGGGTTTTTTGTTGTTATTTAAAAAAAAATTTTTTTTCCAGTTGGCTTTCATCCAGATCTAGAGGATTTAACTGTAGTAAGTATGTTTAGCTGTTTATGCGTCTATCCTGACTCACTGTTCCCAAATTTCGTTCTGTTAGATTAAGCAAATGTCTTATTCCAGGCAAACTGGATTTCCTGGGAGAATATAAGGGGGGAAAGGGCAGAGAGGCCTCTTGTCTCCTGTAAAGACAGAATGAGGAAAAAAAGGCTCCATGAATCTCCTAAAACCATGAGATGGCATGACAGCTGTCAGTGGGAGAATTGAAAACCTTTTCCTTAAGACATAATCACTTATAAAACGGGTTTGTGTGTTTTATTACACAGCATAATGTTTTGAAAAAAAGTCTTTCCCTGAGTCATTCCCATAAAATAGTATTGAAATTTGCTGGATAGCCAGGGTTCAATCCTGACTCTTATCAGTAAACGTTATTTCTTGAGACCCAGGTGTTTGGGAATAAAACCCTTTGCTCAAGTGCAGGCTTGTTTTTGACGGAGAGTTGCATGTTACTTCCTGTGAAAGGGAAAAGATTCTTCTCAAGGTTTCTGTTGATTGCGTTCCCCCTGGACTTTCAGTCCTTTTTCATCCATGAATAAACCCTTTACCCAACCTGGATCACTTTGGAATGCTGGGCTTCTGGGAAGATTCATGCTTCCATGCATAAGGAAGGCTCTGTGGTTTGGGTTCCCTGTCCCCTCTCTGAAGGAAGCATACTGTAGTTGCTAAATGACTGGGGGGTGGGGGAGGGGCGGGAGTTCACACTCACACTCACGGCTTGCACTTCTCTGCCCAGGTGTTGTGAGAGATGTTTGACCTCGAGATCATGATCGCCATTGGGAGCGCCTTACTGATTACAGCTTTCGTGCTCATAGGCGTCGTCATCTGGCTTTACTACAAAGTAGCCAACACGTTAAAGTGAGTGATGTGGGTAAGAGGGGCTAACACCCCCTCGCATGGGATCCTGGGGCTCTGTGCTTGAGCGGGGTCATCCCCGGCCCTGTGGCCGCACCCTGGGTGAGGTCAGGAACAGCAGGAGGGTTTGAGAGGACCGAGGCGGGGAGGGTAGGATCTGGCTTTCTGCCCCTTCTGGTCTGGGGCTGTGAGCTCACAAGGAGAATGTTCTCAGCTGCTGGGTCTGCGCTGGTTTGCCGTCCCTTGGCCTCCCCGGGTTTACCCTTAGAGGGTTGATCCCACAGGACTGCAGACTGAAGACGGCGCGACTGAGTCTGCCTGTGCTCACTCAGAGGATGGGCTGAGCTGATGCTCCCCCCGCCTGAGTTGGGGCGCGCTCAGCGGGTCCTTGGCTCCAGGCATAGTGGGATGGGCCTGTAGGACCCTGGGGAAGTTGAGTTGTGTGAAGATCCTGGGCTTTACCTCACCAGGGAGTGTAAATCAGAAAAGGGAGTGTTAAATTTGGGGGAAAGGAGGCCTCAGATATGGGCGAGACTGGTTGTCAGAAGCAGTGGTGTTCCCATGCATTAACGTTCCAAGGAGACAGCATGTTTGTCGCAGAGTCCTGCATCAAGCTTTGAATGACCTGGTTTTTATTTCCAGCTCCTCCTCTACTTGTATGTGTTTGATCAAGGCAGTGTGCTTCTCCATGTCTCAGATTCTTTATGTGATAAGTGGGGAGAATACAAAAAAAAAAAAACCCCAAAACCAGCAGCAGTCGTGTTCCCATTCTAGGGAAGTTCATTCTGTGAGCAGGAAGGTAACTCGGAGCACCCGAGGGTCCAGGGGCGGCTGACTCGGCACCCTCCCGGCTTGTGCTCTGCACTTGGCAGACTTGCAGTGATCACCTGGGTGACCCGTGCTTGCAACTCACTCTCCCTCATTTGCTGGAACCTGATCTTACATTTCTGGCACTCTTAGGAGAGGAAGGGATTGGACAGGAACTTGGGATGAGGGCAGAGTTGCTTTCATCTGGGTTGGTGTCATGTGTTTGATTGATTCCAGCCCCAAATTCTCCAAATCCCCATGACAATTGTAACTGGTGGACTAGAAGAAAAATTCTAATCCTATGCTCTGTGTATGTCTTTTCTTAAGTGCTGCAAAGACACCCATTGCTACGGCCATTACCTGTAGTGATCAAGATAAGGTCACCGAAGCTGCAACCTCCACCCCCGAGTCTTACCCCAGCTTCCGGTGCTGTGAAGAATGTAACTTTCCTGCCAACTTTGATCCCCTGACATCGTGCTTCTGTGACATAAACAAGGGACTCAATACAGAATGAGTAATAGAAGGTGGTTATAAACACCAACTGCCACCATCTGACTAGTTACAGAAACAAGGACTCTGTCGTGAATATTTCCTCCTTATTTGTTATGAATATGTTGTATTTACATACTTTAAGCAAATGTTTTCTTTCTTATTTCCATATCATGTAACATAAGATGTACTGACTTTATGTCAGTATTTAGTAGTTAATTTTACATCATAGTATTTATGTTATAGGCTTACCAGGTGGTCCAGTGGTAATCCATTTGCCTAGCAGGAGACTCAGGTTTGATTCCTGGGTTGAGAAGATCCTCCGGAGAAGGAGATGGCAACACACTCCAGTATTCTTGCCTGGGAAATCCCATGGACAAAAGAGCCTGGCGGGCTACGGTCCATGGGGTTACACAGTGGGACACAGCTTAGCAACTAAACAATAAATATCCTATTCCATTTCTCTGGAGAATCCTAGTAGAGTTGGATAGGACATGAAAAGCACTTGCAAACTAAAGCATTTTTAGTAACATGAAAAGTGAACAAATAAATCCCCTTCCTTCATCTCAGGGCTTCCCTAGTGGGTCAGACAATAAAGAATCTGCCTGCAATTCAGGAGACCCAGGTTTGGTCCCTGCGTCAGGAAGATTCCCTGGAGAAGGGAGTGGTTACCCGCTCCAGTATTCTTGCCTGGAGAATCCCATGGACAGAGAAGCCCTGGGATCGCAAAGAGTCTGGCATGACAGAACGACTAACAGTTTCCTTCATCTGAGTGTATATTTATTTTCTTGAGCACCTTCTGGATTTAAAATAGTGGATTAAGCAAGACAAAGTATAGATACAGAAGCTCTGGTTCCTGAATTCAAGTATCTGTTCACGATGCAAAATCATGCACGGGAAACTGGAAGCCTGTAGGTCCAACAAGATTCAGAATCTGTTAGAGGCACACCAAAGGGCCTGGAGGCAGCAGAGGAATAATTAATGGAGGGGGGGGGCGCAGGGGGCCGGGGGAGGGTGGGGCAGAGGAGTGAACCTGGCTGGCTGGAAGAGTGAGCTGGGCTGAGACAGAGATGGTGTCAGAGGCCATGCTAAGGGGGGGTGGCGTCATCCTACCTTGGGGCTCCGCCACTGAGCTGAGGGTGGATCAGTTAGGGGAACCACTGAGTTATCTCACAAACAGGAGACCCTGGTAAGGAACAGGGAAATAACAAGCTACCACCAACTGGAAGAATTCAGGAAAGGTCAAAAGGAGAGGGGTGGGACCTCCCTGGTGGTCCGGTGGTTAAGACTCTGAGCTCCTGATGCAGGGGCCTGAGTTCAATCCCTGGTCTGGGAAGTATATCCCACATGCACCTAAGACTGGGACAGGCAAATTTAATTAGATTCAGGAGTGTCTAAAGCTTAAGACATCTTCAAACCTTGTAAAAGCTCATTTTTTTCTTTTCCATGTTAATCTGAGTAAATCACTTGACTTTTATCATTTAAGATTAGGCGTGGCTATAACAAAATTTCAAATAACAGTGGCTTGAACAAGTAAGAATTTGATTTCTCTCCTCTTCAAAATGCCCAGCAGCAAGAGGTCAGGCCTGGCTGTCTTTGCCATGTCAGGGGCCACATTACTCTATGTGGGTTCTCTCCCCAAAGTCACAGCATGGGCCAAGGTGACTGCCGGTTCTCTAACCTTCATGTTTAAATTCTAGAGAAGAGGAAGGAGGTTGAGAAAAGCTGTGCATTCCATTTCTCTTTAAATCCCCTGTGATAGATAGAACTGAATGATATGGTCTCAACTAGCCACAAGGAAAGCTCAGAAATGTCGTTCTTATTCCAGTTGTGAATCGGCACTTGAATTTTGCTAAATCAGTAGATATCAAGTGTTCTCACCACACACACACACAGATGGTAGCCGCATGAGTGGTAGGTATGTTAATCAGCTTGATTTTGGTAATCATTTCACGATGTACACATATACTAAAACATCATGTTGTATACCTTACATATATATAATTTTTATTTGTCAATTCTGCCTCAATAAAGGATACTTACTGGGATTTCCTTGGTGGTCCACTGGTTGAGACCTTGCCTTCCAATGCACGGAGTGCAGGTTCAATCCTTGGTCAGGGAGCTAAGATTCCACATGCCTCATAACCAAGGAACCAAAGCATAGAAGGGAAGTAATATTGTAGCACATACAATAAAGACTTTAAAAAGGGTCCACATCAAAACAAAAGAAAATAAAAAACTTTAAAAAGTGTTCAGTTCAGTCGCTCAGTTGTGTCCGACTCTTTGCGACCCCATGGATGGCAGCACGCCAGGCCTCCCTGTCTATCACCAACTCCCGGAGTTTACCCAAACTCATGTCCATTGTGTCGGTGATGCCATCTAACCATCTCATCCTCTGTCATCCCCTTCTCCTCCTGCCTTCAATCTTTCCCAGCAGCAGGGTCTTTTCAAATGAGTCAGCTCTTCGCATCAGATGGCCAAAGTATTGGAGTTTCAGCTTCAACATCAGTCCTTCCAATGAACACCGAGGACTGATCTCCTTTAGGATGGACTGGTTGGATCTCCTTGCAGTCCAAGGGACTCTCAAGAGTCTTCTCCAACACCACAGTTCAAAAGCAGCAATTCTTCTGTGCTCAGCGTTCTTTATAGTCCAACTCTCACATCCATACATGACTACTGGAAAAACCATAGCCTTGACCAGACAGACCTTTGTTGGCAAAGTAATGTCTCTGCTTTTTAATATGCTGTCTAGGTTGGTCATAACTTTCTTCCAAGGAGCAAGCGTTTTTTAATTTCATGGCTGCAATCACCATCTGCAGTGATTTTAAAGCCCCCCAAAATAAAGTCAGCCACTGTTTCCCCATCTATTTGCCATGAAGTAATGGGACTGGGTGCCATGGTCTTAGTTTTCTGAATGTTGAGCTTTATGCCAACTTTTTCACTGTCCTCTTTCACTTTCATCAAGAGGCTCTTTTGTTCTTCTTCACTTTCTGCCATAAGGGTGGTGTCATCTGCATATCTGAGGTTACTGATATTTCTCCTGGCAATCTTGATTCCAGCTTGTGCTTCATCCAGCCAAGCGTTTCTCATGATGTACTCTGCATACAAGTTAAATAAGCAGGGTGACAATATACAGCCTTGATGTACTCCTTTTCCTATTTGGAACCAGTCTGTTGTTCCATGGCCAGTTCTAACTGTTGCTTCCTGATCTTCATACAAATTCCTCAAGAGGCAGGTAAAAAAGTGTTATTTTTACTAAATACTATTTTTATAAGTATATCACCCATCAGCCAGAGAAAAGAAAGAAAAATAGAGACTTCTGTGGTATTCCAGCAGTTAAGGCTTCACCATGCAATGCAGGGGGTGTGGGTTCAATCGCTGGTCGAGGAGCTAAGATCCCACATACCTCTAAACCAAAAAACCAAAACATAAAAAACAGAAACAAAATTGTAACAAATTCAATAGACTTTAAAAGAAAGCAAGGTAAAAGTTAACCATTAGATTCCATGATGAAATATGTGTTCATTCACATTCAGTTAGTTTCTTTTTAGTTTTTACTTTTTTTTCCATTTATTTTTATTAGTTGGAAGCTAATTACTTTACAATATTGTAGTGGTTTTTGCCATACATTGACATGAATCAGCCATGGATTTACATGTGTTCCCCATCCCGATCCCCCCTCCCACCTCCCTCTCCACCAGATCCCTCTGGGTCTTCCCAGTGCACCAGCCCTGAGCACTTGTCTCATGCATCCAACCTGGGCTGGTGATCTGTTTCACCCTTGATAATATACATGTTTTGATGCTGTTCTCTCTAAACATCCCACCCTCGCCTTCTCCCACAGAGTCAAAAAAAAAAAAAGTCTGTTCTGTAAATCTGTGTCTCTTTTTCTGTTTGCATATAGGGTTATCGTTACCATCTTTCTAAATTCCATATATATGTGTTAGTATACTGTATTGGTCTTTATCTTTCTGGCTTACTTCACTCTGTATGATGGGCTCCAGTTTCATCCATCTCATTAGAACTGATTCAAATGAATTCTTTATAATGACTGAGTAATATTCCATGATGTATAGGTACCACAGCTTCCTTATCCATTCGTCTGCTGATGGACATCTAGGTTGCTTCCATGTCCTGGCTATTATAAACAGTGCTGTGATGAACATTGGTGTGCACGTGTCTCTTTCAGATCTGATTTCTTCAGTGTGTATGCCCAGAAGTGGGATTGCTGGGTCATATGGCAGTTCTATGTCCAGTTTTTTAAAGAAATCTCCACACTGTTCTCCATAGCAGCTGTACTAGTTTGCATTCCTACCAACAGTGTAAGAGGGTTCCCTTTTCTCCACACCATCTCCAGCATTTATTGCTTGTAGACTTTTGGATAGCAGCCATCCTGACTGGCATGTAATGGTACCTCATTGTGGTTTTGATTTGCATTTCTTTGATAATGAGTGATGTTGAGCATCTTTTCATGTGTTTGTTAGCCATCTGTATGCCTTCTTTGGAGAAATGTCTGTTTAGATCTTTGGCCCATTTTTTGATTGGGTCATTTATTTTTCTGGAATTGAGCTGCAGGAATTGCTTGTATATTTTTGAGATTAATCCTTTGTCTGTTGCTTCATTTGCTATTATTTTCTCCCATTCTGAGGGCTGTCTTTTCACCTTGCTTATAGTTTCCTTTGTTGTGCAAAAGCTTTTAAGTTTTATTAGGTCCCATTTGTTTATTTTTGCTTTTATTTCCAATATTCTGGGAGGTGGGTCATAGAGGGTCCTGCTGTGATTTATGTCAGAGAGTGTTTTGCCTATGTTCTCCTCTAGGAGTTTTATAGTTTCTGGTCTTACATTTAGATCTTTAATCCATTTTGAATTTATATTTGTGTATGCTGTTAGAAAGTGTTCTAGTTTCATTCTTTTACAAGTGGTTGACCAGTTTTCCCAGCACCACTTGTTAAAGAGGTTATCTTTTTTCCATTGTATATTCTTGCTTCCTTTGTCGAAGATAAGGTGTCCATAGGTTCGTGGATT